CCGCTCTGGTTAAGGTGTTTAATAACATCTGCTTGATAAAGACAGTGGTAGAACTTGATTCTCACTGCTATTGGATCTCAGTGTTGCTTTTGACACAGTTGGCTATCAGTTGACTTACTGGAAAAATGGGTGGGACTTTCTGGCACTGTACTCACTTGATTTAAATCTTACCAAAAGGACAGAGACTATTTAGTGTCCATAGGTAGCTCTATATCTGAGCGAATTACACGTGGAGTTCCCCAAGGCTCCATCTTGGGGCCTCTTTTGTTTAATATCTACTATATGTTTGGCTGGCTCTGATTATACAAAACAAAAAAAATATCTTAAAGAAAACTAAATATGTATGTAGATGACACCCAGTTATTTGTAACTGGCTCCATACAGGATCTGAGTAAGTGCCTCAAACAAATCCATGAGTGGATGTGCCAAATTGTCTTAAATTGAACAAGAATAAAACTAAGGTAGTTGTTTTGGACACCAACGGGACAGATTAAGAGTCAGCAGCTGGTGAAAACCCATAAACTCTATATACTATGGACAACTTGGCTCCGCCTTCCGTCATTATATGAATTTGAAGCCGAATTGCTCCCAGTATTTCTGGGATTTTCTCCACTTCCTGGAACCACCGCTTGCGCAGTAGCATTGTACACATACAGCGGCAGAGTCACTGTGATGGCACTTGGCTCAAACAAGCAGGGTGAGCTACACAATCCCTGAACCGCCATATGCTGAATCAGTTGTCAATCATAGGAAAACATTAACCTCCTAATAACTTTAAAAAACGGAGCTGCACAGAAAAAAGAGGACTTGACCACACACCAGTCTTACAGTAACTACAAAACATTCTTTCAACCAAACCTTTGTCTGGATTGTCTTTTCATGTACAGTTATACTGAGTGTCCTATTATCAAAATTACATTACAGATTATCGGCTCACACAGTTAGCATTAGCCTAGCCTAGCCTAGCCACCGTGTCCAGTCTGGCAAAATCAATTACAGAGCATTGCTTCTTCTGACACATACACATAAACAATGCCGAAAGACCACATAATACATATGTGTGTGTGTGTGTGTGTGTTCAGAGTGAAACTGCCTTTTAAAGATTCTGTAAAAATAATTGTATGAACCAAAAAATAGGACTGATGGACCTTTTTCTCTATTTTTCTCTTATCTTTTTGTCTCTTTCTCACACACATATGCATACATACACAAACACACACATAATGAATGCATAACCCCTCCAGGCTTGTGTCTGGTGGAGATTATTAAAGATAATATCATCCTTTAAAAATCACGTCCATTGAATGCTACTGAAAACCTCTATGCTGACAGGAAAATGTGTTATTATCAAAGTCATTCGGCCACATTCTGAGGAGAAAACAGAACATGTTTGTTGTTTGTCCTCAGATAACACCAATATCAGTGTCCTTGTGCTGCTGCGGTGTTCTGGAATATGACCCTTTGTGGTAACAGATCAGTATAAACAACAAATCATCCTCATGTTTACCTCTCAAGCAGCAATTTTATTCACCAACAGGCCACCTAAAAAAATAATGTGGAGAGTACAATTTCAGTGAAAGCAAAAACAATCTTCATGGACTCATTATTTTTCAGGGGGGAACGCATTTAGTGGTCCATGTGAGTGTTAAATCTGTGCACATTTAGGTTTGTGTTCTCTGCTCCCCGTTGCCGCATGCATGATGTTGAAGTGGTGGATATTTATTTTCAAGCTTTTCATCGTCATCTGTTGTGTTTACCTCGCTTGTTTTGTCCAAATGGATTTGCTGGCAGCGTGGAGCAAATTGCTGTCAGACCTGTCCTCGTTAAATTGCATGCAGAGATCTCAGTCTGCTGAATAAACTGTGCAGCATCCAACCGCTCTCATGTAAGAAAGTCTGTGATTTTTATCATCTTTCACACAGCTTATGCACACGTGTCAAAAAAGCATGGTCGGCAATGTGTTTTGGAAAAAGTTTTCAGTTGCACCAATGCAGCATCAGCTGTACAATGATCAACAGGTGACTTAAAGGTTCAATATCCACCCTCACAAAACAGATTTTTGTTGTCAGATCCCTTAAACAAGTATTATCATTGCTGTTGTGTTTTTCCTAACTTCCCTGCCTCTCTCTATCTCTCTGCAAGCAAGCAAGCCAGCAAGCCCTTTTAAAGGCTCTTGACTGCACAAGAGCTGATGCTCATACTGGCAGTAGTTACCATGGCAACAAATGACTGAAGGCTATGTGTTGCCCGTTGTGTGGAAAGCTGTCAGAAACAGATAAATAAAACAACACAGAGGAGGGATAGTTTTGATTTCTGTCTTTCAGAATTTTAGCACCATGTGACAGCTCTGTAATCATGTGACTTTGATTCAAGGCAAACACAGGAAGAATTTACCAGTCAGAGTTGAAAACAGGCTCTTTTATGTGATGAGTACTGCAGACTGATACTGCAATTGGTTAATGTTAATGCCAGCACAATTTTCTTGTTAAGTTTGCTTTGGTTTCATGCTGTTTCCAGTTGTAGATGGAAATTTTCAAAGCTGATTAATTGTCCTCTTTCTCAAACTCTCCTCTGATCGTTAACAACAATGAATTATTCCAGAGAATTACATCAATCTTTTGTCCAGTATGGTATCTGCTTCTTTTGAATGCCACTGGCAACAGTGGACGGGGTAACGAAAAGAAAAAAGTCTCACTGCTGATTAAATATTTAACAAAGCAAAAGGGCAGATGGGTCTTTAGAATTAATTACCCCTCTCAGTGTAAATATGAACATTAGGAGCGACGTACAACCAGTCGAAGCTCCGTGCTGGAGTCTATGCAGTATTAATGACCGACAGCAAAAGCAGCTCACCTCTTAAAATGGAGTCTGGCTTCTGATGTATGCAGTGCATTGTTACTGCTAACTTCACAGATCAGGAGCATGAAAAGAAAAAAAAAACAAACAAACAACAAAGAAAGACTGTTGGTTATTGATTAATTAGTCAATTTCATCACAGCTGATATTTCAAAATCTACAACATGGCTCACTGTTCAGTTATGTGTGATCCAATGTGGTTGAGTCTCAGGACATCCTTATTAAAAAAAAGAGCTTTTGAGTTTAAACTATCTACAAGAATAAGATCATAAATTTATAGGATTGATTTAAAAATTAACATGTATTTTGGTCTGTTGTTAACCTGTATGTTATTTTGGTGAGACAGATCATCAGAGCAGCCATTTTTCTCACATTTTGACCTAGATTCTGATGAAATTTCAACTTTAATCTTATTTTTATTTATTTATTTAGCCTTTATTTCACCAGGTTGGTCCCATTGAGACCCAGCCATGAGGGCAGCAGCATAGTTCCTTCAACAGATAAAATTCGCAGCATCTCAACAATAAAACAATCTCACATAAAACATTTACACACAGATAAGGTAGACTGTAATGATTTCACCATAGTTTTAAATTCATTTAGTATCACAAGAGCTTGAAGACGAAGTTCAGACTGTAGTTTGTTCTAAGTCAGTGGTTTCCAAGTCCAGTCCTCGAGGCCCACTGTCCTGCATGTTTTGGACGTTTCCCTGCTCCAACACACCTGATTCAAATTATCAGCTCGTTATTAAGCCATTCCAGAGCTTGATAACGAGCTGATCATTTGAATCAGGTGTGTTGGAGCAGTGAAACGTCCAAAACATGCAGGACAGTGGACCTCAAGGACTTGAGGATGACAAGATATATTATCTTTACAAGAATGCAAGAATACAAATTTTATTCTCTCAAAACTGCTTAATTTTTTAAAACATGTACTGTCCACAGAGTCTTAGGATTTGAGGCATAAACTCTCTGACTCTTGTGTTTGCGGTCTTGGTGTCCTTCGTCTACACAGCTAACCCAGCACAGAAAGGATTCTACATTTGTCGGTAGAGCCGGCAAGCTATCAACTTTTTAAAAATCAAATAACTAATTAAAACCAAACTCTCTGGGAAAATGAATGACTGCAAATGAATCTGCATGGTACAAACTAATCAGAATGACAGAATGTGTTGCAAAGATGATTAGCCTGCACTCAAACAAGAGGAGCTGTTAAAAGAGCATATTCAGTTTATTTCTCTTCAAATATGTCGCTTCTTATCTGTTTCATATGCATTATGGGTTCTTTTTATTCTTGAATACAAATGCTTTCAAAAGATTCAGTGACATTGACATGAGATTTTGACATCTATCAAAGAAGAAGGATAATGCCAAAAGCTTTTCTTTCTTCAGTCCGTGATGCTGTTGTCTGAACACAAAAACCCTGAAATCTCCAAAGCCTGCCGTCCTTGGTAGATGCAACACGAACCTGCATAACTCCAAAAATCACTTTTTAAAAACCATTTTGGTTTTATGGTTGAGCTTGTTGCATGTCACTGATAATTGCCCCCTTTTTTGGAGTTATTATTTATATAACTGCAGTGGTGGAGGTGGCAGAAAAAGGATGAGCTGTTTAATGTTAGAGAATAGGAGTGGGTAGAGGAGCTCTCGGTCACAGGAAAAAAGGAAAAAAAAAACACAATTTGTGGAAAGAATAGACATCGAGAATAACAAGAAACATAAAGAAGGAAGATAACTTGGCAAAGAAAGACAGTGTTCATGTGACATCAGAACAAAGAAACCAATAATCCTAGAGGGAAAGTCTCTTCTTACTGTACATGAAAGCACACACATGCACCTCCCATCACACACTCTTCACTACACCTACGTTATAAAAAAAGCCCTCTCTCCACACACACACACGGTCCCTCACAGCTACCTTCCTCATGCCCCTGTGGCTCAGCTGGCATCACTCGTGCTCTGTGAGCTGTTACAAAACAAAAGGTCTTCATCTCTAGACATTACTCACTGCTCTTACAGGGACCATGCTGCATGCACACACAGTGGACCCCTCTGTTCAATATTTCTGGCAATAAGAAGGACATGTGGGCCATTTCTGTCTCCTGGATGATACGTAATCTGAACAGCAGACGGCCACCTACTGAGGACACATGGAGCATTATGGTGACAGTGAATACAATCATTGCAAAACCGTCTATTATAAACTCTCCCAGTCGCTTCTGTGTGTATCCTTGGACTTTTTTTCCCCCACAATTTGTCAAAGGCTGTTGGAGCCACGTTGAAAGCCAAGGTGATTTTTTTTATGTAATTTTCACAACATATTTTATGTAACAGGTTGCCAAGGCAAATCAGCAGAATTTCATGTTTTCAGGGTTGTTCAGGTAGCTCATGTTTAAACACCCATCAAAACTAAAAAATATGATCATTTTAGAAAAAGAACTTTATTAATCCCTGAAAAAAAAAATTCAATATCTAAAATTTAAAAATGTTACGTGGCATTAAAAACTATTTTTGATACAAGTAATCGGATTGCGATTGGAAAGTGTATTTTTGAATTTAGGCGTGATAAACCTTATTTCATACTTATAAGGAAGGTATATGCCTGTTATTTTCACCAAGCCCCTAAACCTCATTACTTTGTATGTATAATCTTGTAGACTGTTCTTGTTTGTTGAAAATAACAAGAACAGGAGCATTAAATAAAATAAAAGTTTAGTTGATATTTTTAACATCTTTAAATGACCCACTCCAATTAAAATCTTGTTTTTCTTGTTGTCTACATGTTCATATGGCATTTTTCTGATACTACAGGACATATCGTGAGAAAAAGCAGGATCAGATACAGTAAGATTTCCTATGTAACCAATTCAAGCTCCGCCTCCAGAGCCCCGCTATGCAGGCCAGGCTTGGAGAAATAGAGAATGATAGCGAAACAAGCATCTGTGTTAGCGGATTGAAATGCTCGTAAGAAAGCAAATCATGATTTTAACTTTAAATCGTGTCTCTAAAGACACAAGTTAGCTGAAAAGCTCCTATATTACCTGTTTCTTCTACTACACTGGCAATGTTATCATATCACTGATCATGAAATGCTGTTTGATGTGGTACAGGAAGAGACTGTCGATGCATTTGCAGTCATGGCCTGAAGAGGGAAATGCAGGCTGTTTAACAGAAGGTGCTAGCAGTGCTCAATATGTCTTTGTCTCATGTTTGGCTAATTGCGGCATGGTGCCTGTGTCAGCCCTTTGGCAAGCTATCACATGCAGGAACACACTGGCTCAGGCTCACAGTCTCACGCAGACATCCCCATTAACAAGCATGTACATACGTAGATGAGGTAATGCAAAATGAAGAAGAAGTTAACTTTTTCACAATCCGTAGTGATGAATAAGCTTCTGATGACAATAAAAGCAACAAGTTTGTGAAAGGTTTTGGCAGGAAAATGAAGGAATTCCATTTCAGGCTTGGGTTTAATATGAACACCGCAGCATTTTCAGTAAATCTCTCCCTACTGTAATGTCTTCGTCATCCTTATGAAACTACTTCTTTTCATCTTTTCACTCATACTGCAGTGACTTCTCGATGAGTCAAAGGAGGTGAAAAGGCCACAGTGCAACAGCGTCTTCGGAGCTGTTTCAAATCTAGCCCGTTCAATCACAGACCTCATCAGCGTACGTGTTGATGTGGGAGGCAGGCGGAAGTAAAAAACAAACCCTCTCATTCCCAGTTAGAACATTTTTGTCTACAGTATACGGCCCACTCTTCCTGAGGTGAGACCTGTGTGTCTGTGGGTCACAGGGGAAATTATTTCTTCTTATTTGTTAGCTGTGGTTTTTTTATTGTGTTAGCCTTTCAATTGGAACATTTATTTTTCCATAGTGGAGCTTAATGAGCTGCCTGGTACTGTGGCTGTGTCCACACAGGACCCAATTAATTCAACATGAGGACCATCACTCTTCTTCCCCACTCACTTTGGTAGTCTATGTCTTTTACTCCCCTGGAACACAGGAGCATGGAGTGAGAGATGGTTTCATTCATTTTTTTCTTACCTGTTAATTGTGGGATGAGTATGTCAGAGCAAAGTTTCGTTTGTGTGGGGGGAGAATTAGATTACTTCCTCTAGAGATACGAAATAGGAAATAACATTTAGAGTTCTTCAGTAATTTTTTGGCCAAAGGGATGGCAGGCGGACTTTGCGTGAGACAAGGAGAGCACCTTTTGACTGCCAGTTGCATTTGGGCATGTCTTATCAGGATAATAAACAAGCAAATACAAGAAGTTGTTGTTTGTGTATTTTCTGGTGGTGTGCTCTACCATTTGTAGAAGACCATTCTGTGTCCCCGTTGACTACCTCTGAACCTTTCCAACTTAGTCTGATTGGTTGAACTGCAAACGGATGACTGGGTATTCTCAGTCCCTCCGTTTCTTGGACAGACACCAACTGTGAGGTGTAATGCTTGCGTTCCAGTTACTTCGGAAGTGGGATGACACCTGAGTTGACTGCGTTCCACTTAACGAGTCGGAAAACCAAGATAGACGCCTACAGTTACCCATTGTTAGCTGTTGTTTACAATTGTCAGCTGTCGTTAGCCACTGTCAGTTGTTAGCGGTTGTCAGTTGTTGTTGGCGATACCTGTTGTAAACAACGCATAACACAGTATGTTACTCTACAAACACCAAAGCACCGTGTTCACAGTTGGACGTTGGGCAGTACAACATACACCACCTATTAAATTTCACAAAAACAAACAGAAGTGCTACTAAATTATACATTACGAGAGCTTTCACGTTTACTCTTTACTGTTGATGCACTGCGCTGCCATCTTGGATTATGATGTTGTTGTCAAGTCAGGGTTTGTCAGGATTGATGGTGAGTTGGGAATCCGACTCCAGGGGGGGCGTTCCAGATGAATTTCTGACTCCGAGCTTGGAAATTCCGACTTCCAAGTACAACAGGAATGCAGCATTATTACCAACCCGTACCGCTTGTGGCCTCTCACTAAGGAAGGCCAGCAACCAGTTGCACAGTGAGGTGTTGAGTCCTAGCTGGTCTAGTTTGAGGATGAGATATTGTGGGATGATAGTGTTGAATGTGGAACTGAAATCTAAGAACAGCATTCATACATATGAGTCCTTAGTGACCAGGGGCCTCATGTATCAACGCTTGCGGCGCAAGAAAACCTTGCGTACGCCAAAATCGGCGCACACGTCCAGATTTATCATCGCGAAAGCGTCGGTTCCAGCGCTAATCAACGCAAAGTCAGGAGGTGGTGTAGAAATTGGCGTTGAGCTGGATATTTGCGTTGACTGTGATTCGCACTTTGGCGACGCTGTGTGGCGGTGTTTGGTGACTCACTATGTGACAAGCGTGCACCACATCCCCGTGGCCGGGCAGCACATCGCCCCACATGACGAACCAGCAGCAGACGGAGGGATGCGAGCTGATCCCTGCCGGACCGCCGTCCTCGCGCGGGAGAATCTCATCGCCACAGTGTGAATGGGTAAGAAGTGAATACACAGTTCAATGAGCCAAATTAATTTATTTTCTCCACCAGACGCTCGAGGAAATTTACGAGCCGGTCCAGCCGCTCTTTGATCCCCGCGATCCCCCTGATGATTTCTTCCTGCGATTGCAGGACCCCCTCCGCGAGGACCCTTCCACTGCGTCCGGGTGGTCCAGCGGAAGCGCCGCGGCTGGTGGACGCTCCACCGCTTGTCGGCGCGCTGGTGCTGATGCTGGTGCTGGGGCCGGGGGCCGGGGTGGCCCGAATGCTGCTGGTCCTGGCCGACAACTCCGAGCCGGCGGACGGGCTGCCGCGGGCCAGGGTTCCGCAAGCCGGGGACACGGCCGACACATTGATTTCTGTGACACAATAAAAATATTAGTTCATTTCAATTCCTGCTTCTGTGTATCTGTTGCGTTTACATCTCTCTCCACGGTATCATAGGTAATGTAATCCAGTATTTCGAGGTCAGTTATGCACATTACAGTTGTTTATTGCATAAAAAGTTATCAAAAAATGAAGTTAAGGGCGAAGTATAAATCACGTCTAAAAATAGACTGAATCCCGACGTTGAAATGAAGTATAAACTTAGACTAGACGTCTAATATACGTCTTTTGCTCAGTGGGATGACAAAGCATGTGGACATTTGTGTGACACGCCACTTACCCTATAATAATAATCGCCACCACCCGCTGCTCAAACGGTGTGAGGGTCTCCTCCCCCGGACCCCCACCTGTCTGGCCGGTACTCCTCCGGAGGGCAGCTGTACGCCGCTTGACCTCCACCTTGAGGTCCGACCACTTTTTAAAAATCTCCGCGGGGGTGCGTGTCTCGGAACCCACCGCATTCACCCTCTCGCAAACTTTCTCCCACTCCAAGCGTTTTTGTTTTGCACTGACGCCACTGGACAGGCTGCCAAACAAAACACGCTGTCGCTCCTCCACCTCCGCCACCAGCACCTCCACCTCGCACGCCGTAAATGTAGTTTTTCTTGTCATTTTGTCTGCGTGCGAGGACAGGACGACCCTATTTAAATAAATCTGCATATTTATAGGAGGGCGTAACGGGGACGGGCCCAGTCACTCCGACATCTGCGCTCAATTCCACGCTGATTGGGATTTATCAAGGAAACACACGTGGATTTCGGCGCCCGCACACATTGATACATACGGATTTTTTTCAGCGTGACGGACCTTGCGTGCGCTCGTTTCTGGTATGAGTTCCACGCAAGTGTTGATACATGAGGCCCCAGGTGGGTGAGAGAGGGGTGGAGAGCAGTGCAGGTTACATTGGTTGGCCTCGGTATGCAGACTGGAATGGGTCCAGTGTGAAGGGGAGGATGGATTTTATTTGAGACATGACAAGCTGTTCAAAGCACTTCATGATGATGGGGTTGAATGTGACTTCTTTGGGATGGATGGTGGTGGTTTTGAAATCCGCTTGAACAACAGCTGGGCTCAGGGAAGTGTTAAAGGTGTCTGTGAAGACGTCTTTGAGCTCCGCTGTGCAGTCATTCAGGAATGTTGTCTGGACCTGCAGCCTTGCGGTTATTGATGGTGGAGAATAACAGACAGAAACAGAGCCTGGTCCTGGGGTGGGAGTGGGGTCTTCTGTGGACACCTGCTGTTCTGTTGAGAACAGCTGCTGAAGTTATTCAGCAGAGAGATGTTGCTGTCACAGACCTGTGGTGAGGGCTTGGAGTCTGTCATGGTCTGTATGCCCTGCCACAGGCTCCGTGTGTCTCTGCTGTCCTTAATAGGTTTCCGTTATCCTCTTTGTGTAGTCCTGTTTAGCTTTCTGGATACCCTGGGACAGGTTGGCTCTTGCTTTTCTCAGGCCATCTGCATCCCCAGTTCTGAAGGCAGTGTTCCTGGCCCTCAGCAGGCTGCAGACCTCTCCTGTTAGCCAAGGTTTCTGGTTAGCTCTGGTGATGATTGTCCATGTGTGGGTTACATCATCCATGCATTTCTTGATGTCTGTGTACTCCTCAATGTCCATGTGGCTGCTTGTTTAAACACTTCCCTGTCTGTAGTGTCAAAGCAGTCCTTAAGTGAAGAAGCTCCCTCTGGCGCACTTAAAATCCTTAAATTTCCTCAAAAATTGACAGTGCGCATTATAATCCAGCATGCCTTATGCATGATTACTTGTTGTGCTAACTGACCGATTTTTATGTGGAACAATGCACTCAAAAATCTGTCGAAATATGTAAGTACGACTTTGGTAAACAATGAAGCCGCTCTGCTCAATGGATATTCGAAGCATTACGGTACTCTGTGTCACTACCTGATCGGCCCGGTAACAGGACCCCTGAGCAGTTTACAAGACTGCCTGACTGTGATGTCTAAACTAGAAGTGCATTCATGTAAGGCAGCCAGGGCCTGGAGTACGCACTAGCAACAATAAACCAATCAATGCTTAATAATCCGGTGCGTCTTATCGCCCGAAAAATACAGTATTTTTCCTGCATAAACCAAAACATACAATGAATGCATAATTGTTGCTGCCACAAATACTTCCCATTGTAATTTCTGCATCAACAACTTTTATGAGTTTTACCTTTAGGAATGGATGTTGCAAGTAAAAGGTGATAACCACTCTTATACTTAAGCTGACTTAAGTATATCTAACTATTATCAACAAAACTACTGCTTAATTGGAAGATAATAATGGACAATAACGGCTGATAATAATCAAATAGATGAAACTTGGGGAAGGGGTCCTTTTAATTTTAAAAACATAAACACAAAATGCAATCTTTTTGAAGGCTCCAGTGAGGTTCTTTTGCAGCAATGAGTTTTATTACAAAAGTTGTCCCTCTATTCATATTCATTCAATAGTGAAAATATGTACCAATTAATTTCCCTTAGCCAAGGGGGGGATTCTATCTATTTACATGCATCTACACACCTTTTATTGACCCTCAAATGTAAGGCCAAAGTTATTCTATCTCATTATTCTGGGGTAATTGCATTTTTATTGAGTTTAATTCACTTCTGCTTCTCTGAAAATGAATTCTCAGTGTATTACGGGTATTTTTGTACTTGTTACATATAAAAAAGGAAGAGATGAACAGCGGAAACAGTCAAAACTGTGGCTCACAATAAATTCCTGGGGGGTTTCAGTTTTGTGAGGGGAGGCCAGACTTCATCCTACGTGGCTTTTACTTACCAAGGGCATTCAGGCTTTACACCCACACACATCAGTCCAGCAGAGAGGAGGAGAAGGAGCCGCTGGGTTTTATACTGCAGTGCTGAGAGACAGAGAGAGAAAGAAAGAGAGGGAGAGATTTAGTCCATATCTGTTAGCACTTTTTGCTTTTTTATGCTATAGAGGCTTTTATGTTCACTCCACGCGCCCAAACACCGCCCTCTGCAAGCCCTTTTTCCTTAAATGGTTTTTCCGGAAACTTACATCTTCTCCCCGTTAGCTGGCAGCCACCAGCAGTTGAAATCGCACATTAGAGAAGAGCTTGCCTTTAGGTTGCCATAGCAACAGGGTGAGTCATTCTGCTGCAGTCAGTTTAGTCACATTCACAGCGACTGTATGTTTCTCTTTTTTCTCCATCATACTGTCCCTCTCTTCTTGCCCTCCTCTCACATTTACACACACACATGAATACACACACACACACACACACACACACACACACACACACACACACACACACACACACACACACACACACACACACACAGAGTTACGACACTGTTTTAAAACACAACACATAAAGAGGGGGTTAAATGGGTCTAAAATTGGGTAGTGGATGTGCATGTTTATATGCATTTGTGCTGCGTGAGAGCGATAGAATGGCCTGATAATAAGGGCCGGTGGATTGTCGCTGCTCTCGATCTGATTACTTATTTATGGATCAGGCTAATCAGTAAACCAACAGCTGAGAAACACACTGTGAGGAGGGTGGGTGATGTGTGAAGAAATGAGGGAGGCAAGAGGAGGAAGGGGGCACCTTACACTCTTTCTTCTCCCAAGAATGTTTGTCAGAGGAGCAAAATTTGCAGTTTTTTTGAAAAGCTGAGATGCCTTTGAAAGTTATTTTCTTTTTCCCTGTCATAAGACGTTTCAAGTTTACAACCGTATACCCCATCATTAGTGATACGCCTCCCTGCTATTGAAATGAATCATCAAACGCCTTATTGTCACTCAGTTGTCATAATATTCAAATTACGATGTGCGATGTCAGTGAAAGAAAAAGCTTTGTAGTCGAAGTCGAGGTGGGCTGCAGCTATCTCCACTTTTTTTTTTCCTAGAACAACTTGTATTCTTAAATTTGTTATCTAAATGCAGATGACGTGCGTTGGAAAAATTCTGTGTATGGCGTTAGTTCAGAGATCAAACAACTGGCATCTGATGATGAATTACAGGCTGAGGTTGATTACACAACTTCAGTGTGAAATCTGTAACAGCTTGTGAATGCACTGAAGTGAAAGCTTTATGTTAATGAGATAGGAAGGTGCAATGGTGCTTAACAGAGTGGAGTGCTTTGCTTTATTCAGCTTCAAAACAGCTGCTCGTGCTGTACTGTTATTGCCTCTGAATATGCCATAGGGGTAAAAAATTATATCTGGTTTCACCTGCCATTAACCTGCAGCGCTTGCATATATTAGACAGACTCTTAACTAGCTTTCCCTTAAAGGAGAACTTTTATGCTTATCTCTTTTTCAGGACAAAAGTATAATGTTAATATGGTGGATGCCCATACTTAACCTCAGCAAAGTTTAAGAGCATAGAATATATATACAAACATAGATGTTGGTATAATCCCCCAAACATGGTTTCTGTGTTCTTTAAATGCAACAGAATTGTTTGGTCAGCAAAGTTCAGCTTCTAGTGTTGGTTTAAAGGCAACAGTCTTGGTCATAAAATACCAGTGACTCTGGTGGTAGTGTTGATTATTTCTCTTGAACTGTTCGTCATCTTCTCTGTTGATATGATGAATGCAGCGCTGATAGTGTTATACTCTTCTTATTAGAGATAGACTGGTTAATCAGTCTATCAATTGTATCTCTATATAGTTGGCATCTTATTAGCACCAGGCCTTACAAGACCGATATCAGCATGATCTAAACACCAATGACAGAATAACAAATCAAATATTGTTACTGGTCAGATGTAAATCTTGATATGACATATAGAATAATGCGCTTTAACATTGCTTCTGACATAAATACCAGTCATGTTCTATAATCTATTGTATAATCCAATGTACATAATTTACATTTAAGGATTTTAATAGGTAGGAATAATGGATTTATATGCAACTTTGTTCACACCTTATACATTTGTGGTTGGGTTCCTGTGTTGGCCCAGTATCACATGTTCTTATGGTGTCTTTGTTTTAATGACATCTCAGCTCATGTAACACTTATCAAAGCTTATATGTCTTCCAGCGATATCTATTTTATTTTATTTTATTTTATTTTATCTATTGCTAATAATGTCACATTAGGACATGAGGACACCCCAAAATGTTCTCTTGTTGTTGGATTTTATGGTTGGATTTTGTTTGGTTTTTATCTTTGTTTTCCTGCATGTTAAAGCACTTTATAAACTCTTAATTTTAAAAGTGCTATATAAATAAAATAAAGTTATTATAAGAGCCTCAGTAGCATGTAAAGCAACCAAACACAGCTGCAACAGCCATAGCCTGCCCCCCACAGACTGTGGTTTATCTGAGACTACCTCCAGAATTTGGGAGTGGGGAGACAGGAATGGCCAGCCAGCAGTCCTGACCTCAACCCCCTGAACACTTGTGGGATCAGCTTGGGTGTGCTGCTTGTTCCAGAGTGACCAACACAACCACACCGGCTGACTTTTGACAAATGCTGGTCAAGAATGGGATGCTATCCCACAGCAATGTGTAACAAGGCTGGTGACCAGCTTGTGGAGGAGGTGCCAGGCTGTTGTGACTGTGTATGGTTTCTCTACATCCTACTGTATGAGGATCTTGTTTGTTAAATGAATAGACTGTTAAACTGTCACTATGCTTTATTTGTAAGACTTCAATCACCCAATTCACCAAACAACACCCCAACAAGAGTCAATGGCAGAACAAGCTGTTTAGCACTGGCAGAGAGGATTTGACATTTTTTTAAATGTGTGGAACCTACATACTGAGCTCTGCTGCATTTCCAACAAATGCATGTTCTACAAATGATGCACAATTTTAAAAAGGGAATAAACAAGCTTTCAAAGAGTATAAGATTAATAGCCAAGAAGCATTGTTACTACAAAGACATCATTTACCAAACACAAATTCCCTTACGTTTTGTGCTTATCATAAATATCCTGCTTCACTTTTGGGGAGCTGTCATGTTGTCAGTACTGTGTTGTAGCACAATCACATGTTTGATTTGAGTCTAAAAGTCTAAATCAGGCTTGGTTCACCAAAGAATTCTCCCAGTCTAAGTCCGAGTCGCAGTTGAGTCCTCATTGTTCATCACAGGTGGATGGCTGTTTCACTTTAAACTACTCATGTAATGAACCGGAATTGTTTATGAGGGCAATTCTGGATGTGTAGAAAACATCCATCCATCCATTTTCGATAACGCTTATCCCTTTTGGGGTCACAGGTGGGCTGGAGCCTATCCCAGCTGTCATCGGGCAAGAGGTGGAATACACCCTGAATCGGTCACCAGGCAATTGCAAGGCCACATAGAGAGACAGACAATCATTCATGCTCATACTCATACCTAAGGACAATTTAGAGTCACCAATTAACCTATTGAGCATGCTTTTGGTCTGTGGGAGGAAGCCAGAGTGCCCAGAGAGAGCCCACACATGCACAGGAAGAACATGCAAACTTCACACAGAAAGGCCCTCGCTCAACCCGGGGATTAAACTATCAACCTTCTTGCTGTGAGGCACGTTCACTACCTGCTGCACCACCATGCTGCCATGTAGAAAACATGTTTAAGTTATTAACATTCGTTTCAGTGCTGTATGTTGTGCAAAAATGTGCAACGATGCTCATCTATTCTATGTGGTATATCACTGCAACCCACCTACTATCAATCAGAGTTCTTACAAACCAAACATCTTGGACCCAGTGGATGAATCACTTGGGAGGGTTACTAGTAGTATAAACAGTCCTTGTGGGCTAATTGTAGCATCTAAATGACTTTTAAGTGGGCAGATGTCAAAGTCTGTTACTGTATTATTTTCAGTTCTTTTAAAAATTGCCTCTCCAATTGCTGAAAATATTTGGAGAGATCTTTTGGCAACCTGGCAAGAGATTTTGCTGAATAAGATGGTACATAAACACCATAGACTGTATATAGAATGGGCGCTGTCTGACTCCTCGTTTGGTGAAGCCACCATGAGAACAGCACCCTCTGGTGACGGGCTGCAGTATAGGTCATAAATCCTGCCTCCTCCATCAATCCCTATGAAGTTGTGGACAAACTTTAGAAATTTATAACTACATTTTTAAAAATTATTAGGGGGTTCATGTTTTCTTTGATTGACACTTGATACAGCCTATGAGTGTACGAAGATTGCATAGCTCACTCCGGGGATAAGCTGTTTGAGCCAAGCGTCATAACAGCAACTCTCTGCGACTCTTCTGTCGCATGCATACAACGCTACTGCACAAGTGGTGGAGTGTGTGCAACACTACGGTGCAAGTGGTGGTTCCAGGAAGTGGCGAAAATCCTGAGAGCAATTCGGCTTCAAATCCGTATATTGACGGGAGGTGGAACCAAGTTGTCCATAGTATATACAGTCTATGGTAAAAACACAGTGGGTAACACAAAGCTGAACAGTGACACTGAACAAGAGACTGAATTATTTCTATCAATGTTTCATTTGGTCAATGTTAAGCTGCTCTGAAGGCCTATTAGTGCTGGTCACCCCTTTCACAGTGTCTTTGTTACAAGTTTTGGTTTGATGGAGTTTTTAATATAAAAAGTTGCTTTGAAAAATAAAGTTCTTTTTAATTTCTTGTTATGAGTTTCATCTTTCTTCACTCATGCCCTCATGTCTGGTGTGACCTTGACGAGTATTGATCTGTCAATGATAACAATGTGAGTCATAAACCTCCACTCAATCCCCTGTGGTTGTGTTGATATTCTGTATTGTCTCTGTGCCTCAAAATGTGGTGAGTCACTTTTCTTTGATTCACCACAGCACTTACCCTTGTCTCTCCCAGGTGGTCTGAAGGAGGACTGACGCGGGTGTCATCATCAGCATGGCAGTCTGAATGCAGGCTGAAGTCTCAGGAGTGTGTGTTTGGCATGTTAACAAGTGCAAATCTCTCTGCCGGATCAGACAAAGATCCAGACAAAGTCGTTTTCACCTTCAGCTTTTAATCTGTAAGGCACACAGAGAGGGCGAGGAAACCCCTCCAACATTTTCACACAATTCTATCTGGGTTGTCTCTGTCATCAGCTGGCAGTGAACTTCATTTAACACAAAGGTGAAATGAAAATGCAGAGGTCCTGAAAACCTGAGCAGCGTCTTTCAACAAGCTTTAATGAAGCGCATGACTATAGTTAACAGGGTTTTACAGGCTGGTTCATAAATAAATAATAACTCCACAGTGTGGATGAATGTCTGCATATGTGTGGGTGTGTTTCTGTCCGTCAGCTCATCATGAAGAGTAGCTGCTGTAACAAATAGTCCAAAAGCCCCAGTATGTAATAACAAAGCTAGGCAATGGAGAGTTCTGCTCTATCCCCAGAGAGGCGGATGGAGGATGGGGGCGCACACATTGAAGAGCTGGAGATGACGCAGAGGGGAGGGGGGGGTGGATGGATGGATGGAGCAGAATCCTGAATGAGGAGAGGATGAAGAAAAAGAGGAGGTGGATGAGGAGGTGGAGAGATGGAGCGTGGGCAGACTGCGTGGGAAGGAGATGCTGCATAATCAGCTTTCCAGGGTTTTCTCCTTCTCCATTTTACTCTTCACTTTTTTTCCACTCTCTAAAAACTGTGAGTGTGTCTGCAATGTCTGCATGCACATCAGCTTCCACCTGACAGTTTTCCCCTTGTTTGTGTTTCACATCATATTCTTGAATATTAATAAAAAAATATATATAATGCATTATTCTACGTGACTCCACAAAAACAAAAAAACAGTGTGGTAGTAAAAGCCATTCTAGCTAAAGGCTGCATTCACACACTTAAGGTCTGCTCCAACAACATTTCTTCACACTCATCAGCTTTTGGCATCACATTTGTTTAGCCTGGTGGAAGAAGTGTGAAACGGAGAAACCACCCTAATCGTGAGCGGAGAAGTACCCGATGAGTCATCAGCATCCTTGCGCGTTCAAAACGCCGCCTGGAGCTGCTCTGTTGAAAGGAAAACCTGGTCAGGGAGGGGTGAATGCGTGGGTGGAAGAGGAACAGAGGAGCAGGTGATAGCAGTGGGGGTGGTGGTGGTGGTGGTGGTGAGGGGAGTGGTGTGAAGGGAGGGAAGGAGGGAGGGGGGTTTTCCCTTTCAGAGACATCCTTGAATACGTCTGATGTCGAATGCAGAGCAGGAGGGGAGGTGGAGGGGATTGCAGAGGCAAATACGTGTTCATTCATATGTAGAAGTTCGCTTGCAGTGAGTGGGTGGGTGTGTGAAGCACGAACAGAACACTGTCGCCATCCACATTCGTGGTTCGAGACAGAACAACAGTTGTGAATGGAGCAGTCTGAGTAAGTTTCTATGTTTACTTATTGGAGTGATGTAACAGCCGAACTATCTAGTGACACCTGAACCAATATTATTCTGTTTTTTCTCATTTTCTCGTCCGTCTGTCCGCAGATCCAATCTCTCCAAAATGAAAATCCAACTTTGCAGACAGAAAACAGTGGAAAAGAATAAGAAGTCAATGAAAAGGGTATTTTCAAAGAGGCTATACTCTGAACACCAGGTCACGACATCAATCCCACTGCAGCCATTCTCGCTCTCAGGAGGAATAGAGAGAGCTTTAGTCGTGACTTTGAATCTACGCCTTCAAGCCTGCTTCTTTACCTCATTGCAACCTCCTATTTAGCATTCACCTCCAGTGTGAAATATTTCCACAGGTATACGCAACAATAACGTGGGATGAATAGGCACAGAGTGGAATGGATCTGCCAGCTCTGCAACATACCTAATGAGAGTAAAAAGACTGACTTTACGCAACTTCTGGCCAACATACAAAAAAAAAGGCAAAAAAATGAAGTTAATGGGAACCTTTAGCCTCCCTTCAAAATCCTATTTAGTCAAGTCAGTTACACTCTTTATTCTGGCAAATCATGTTAAACTCATATGTCTTGAAAATTTGACTTCAAGCAAAAAAAAAGTGTGTACAAACAGTAAAATGAATGAAATCCTGAAGGGGGGAGGTTTGGGAAGAAAAATTTAAGTTTTGTCTCAAGAAACTTCAGTGACTTCATATGAAAATCCTGGTAATCAAGTTGTCAACTCTATCACATCTAGGACCTGATTTTCATCAGTTAATTTAGCCATGCTGTGAGCTCCTCATCATACTTCTATACCCACGGCCACTTTAGGACTCACTGTAGAGGGACCGTCAACAAGGGACAATGCAGCTCCCCTAATGTGAAGAGCCATAAAGACAAACTTATACCAGTTGATGAGATATGGACCCTGGAAAGCCATTTCCAATTTAATCAAAGTCAATTTAAAACTCTTTCCAAGTGTATCGAGGTCAGTTATGGGTGGGCTATGATACAATTACAATCTTCCCTCTGCTCCAAACGTTCTTTTCGAACATTTATCGAAGCTGTACTCATTTGCATTCTCTGATTAAACAGCTTAATAGCCTCGATCAACACAGTTATTTTTTTCCCTTTTAACCAGGTGGTACACAAGTTTATTTCTGCTATAAAATTACAACACAGAGTAGCATGAATACAGTTTGAAATTGGATGTCCCTTGAATCTCAGGTGCTAAAAGAAACTAAGCTGTGGCAGGTACTATAGTTTTCACATGGTTGTTACCCGTGTGTTAGCTTTATTATATTCCCTAGTGAGCAAAAATATCATAGCGTTTGCTCCTCTGTGTCTTGCTGTTGTTAGAGACATGTCTGGACTTGTCTGCTTTGACAAGCTGTGATATATATTGCTGAGAGTAACATGAGCCAGTGGTTAGACAGACCCAAGACCTGTTTTAAGACAACTGTTCATGTGTTGCCATAAATTCAGGAAGCACCCCTAATTTGTACCTTGCTCTGTTCAAGAGAAGCACATGGAAGAAATGGTTGGTATTATTTTACTTTGAAAAAACAAAACTTTTTCAAGTGAATTTTTTTGCTGGTCAGCTATGAGGAATATAATTTCCAAGCAAAATATATATGGGTCAAAAATCTCTGGCCTGTTGGGGAACATAAGCTAAAAGTAGATCACAATCCATTGTCCCCTTACTCATGAGGGTCGAGCGGTCCAGTGCTTATAAAAAATAATGTTCTTTCAAAGCAACTAACCATGAAAAAAATATTCTTGCTTCTATACATGGACTTAACAACATTATGAAATCAGAATTAAAAAGTAGCTGACAATTTGAGTGCCTGTATAGCTATTATTCACCCCTATAATTGTATTCTGACAACTGTGGTTAGCGATGTGAAACACCTCAAAGGAGGTTTCTCTGGATTTCCCACTGTGTGTGAATGATGACGCAACGTCACACAGTGAAAGAACCCCCGCTTTAAACTCCAGACTGGCTGACTGCCGAGATGTCGGGCTCAGGGATTGGTTTATAAACAACAAAGAGTGGTGGAGGTGTGGCACGGATGATGCAAAAGAGTGAAAGAAACCCAGAGGACTGGCAGTCTGAATCAGTAGCCGTCCCTTCCTTTCAGAAATGGTCATTGTTTCATTTCCTTCTTTCATTCACTCTTCATCCTTCCCTAACTGAATGAAAGTAAGTTATTTAGTCTGCCCTGCTCAGTCTGCAGTTTGTTGGTGTGTAAAACAAAAATTATTGAACAGATTTATTAAAAATTATTGAAAATTAAATAGCACATTATAAGGGGGGAACCAAACTGCTGATTGGATTTGTTTATTAATGTAGATTTTTAGGTTTAATCAAAGATCATTCATTAACTTTACTAAAAGCACTATTTAAATTATGACTAATTAAATTCATTAACAATGGTTAACTTCCAAAATGGGATGTAATGGTCTGTCCTGTTATCACTTTATGACCATCCGTCTTGACTGCAACTGTGAGAAGCAGTCTGAGCTCTCCACCCTCCTCCATCTACCTCTGCAGTTTGCTGCATCTTTGGTTTGATATATTGGTTTGTGAACCAGATCTGGGATAGCACATATTTTAGCATATAATTCTTTGAGCACTTAGACTTTGTTTCATTTAAAACATGTGTCCATCATCTGGGCTGTCATCAACTCTTCTATTTGTCAATAGTACATTTGGCCGGGAGCGACACGGTGGTGTAGTAGTTAGCACTGTTGCCTCAGAGCAAGAAGGTCCTGGGTTCAAATCTGGGTCAGGGCATTTCTGTGTGTTTGCATGTCCTCCCTGTGTCTGTGTGGGTTTACTCCAGGTACTCTGGTTTCCTCCCACATCCCAAAAACATGCAGAAGTGGGGTAAGGTTAATTGGCCACTTTCAAATTGCCCATAGCTGTGAACATGAGAGTGGCGACCCCTTGGCGACCCTGAATGGGAATAAGCGGTAGAAAATGGATTGATGGATGGACCTTCGGCCGAGTTTATACTTATGAAGCACGATGGAGCGGCAATGTCTGTTGGTTTGTTTATCTGGCTAAAAATGTCAGCTAAAAGTATTTCCAACAATGTTGTAAAGATACTGATATTCTCCACGGTAAGTTTGACCAAATATTTATAGTATTGGACTGATTGAAAAAAATAATATACAACCCCAATTCCATTGAAGTTGAGAGAATGTGTCAAACTTGAATAAAAATAGAAAACAATGATTTACAAACCTTTTTCAACCTATAGTCAATTAAATACACTACAAAGACAAGATATTTGGAGGTCCAACTCATAAATTTGATTGTTTTTTGCAAATATTCATTTTGTTTCAATTTAATTCCTGCAACATGTTCCAAAAAAGTTGGGACAGGTTTAATGTGATGTCATGAAAGGAGCATCCCTGAAAGGCTCAGTTGTGCACAAGCAAAGAGGCGAGGTTCACCACTTTGTGAACAACTGCATGAGAAACTAGTCCAACAGTTTAAGAATGTTTTTCAACAACCAATTGCATGAATTTAGTGATTTCATCATTTACAGTCCGTAATATCATCATAAGATTCAGAGAGACCACAGAAATCTCTGCTAAAAACTAACACTGAGTGCCCGTGACCTTCAACCCTTCAGGCGACACTGTATTAAAAATGGACATCGTTCTGTGAAGAATTTTACCACGTAGGCTCAGAAACACTTTAGAAAACTATCGTCAGTTAACACAGTTCATCTTTACAGCTATTAGTGCAAGTCCAAACTCTAAACATGCAAAGCCAAAACCAGATATCAACAACTCTCTGAAACGCTGCCAGCTTCTGTGGGCCCAAGCTCATCTGAGATGGACTGACTCAAAGTTGAAAAATGTGCAGTGGTCTGAAGAATCCACATTTCAAATTGTTTTTGGAAATCATGGACGTGGTGTCCTCCTGTCAAAAGATGTGATCTATTTATGAAAATGATTCTCAATTTAGACAACGTTACAATGGAGTAAAGTAGTGTTGTCTTAACTTTTGTCTCCTTGAAAAGTGTGCCCTGAGGATTTATCGTCAGGTGTGAAGAGAGCAGAACATGTGAGATGCTTCTTTTGTAGATCACAGGATGAAATTGGCTTTTCTCTGTGGTTAATTCGGAGGTGGTGATAAGACCAGGCAAGAAATCAATATGAGCCTCGGCAACAGAGAAAAATGAAACGAGATTTATTGGAGGGAACCTGATCTGTGATCTATTCCCACACTTTGATTAGCAACCTTTCCCTTGAAATAAAGTGAGCCTGAACTGTTTCTGTTTCATTCATTTATTCACAGATTGGAAAACAATCCTAAAATAACACTTTTTTTTAAATGATTTGGTCCCTCAAGGCTCATAAGATTTGGATCAACAAAAGCAAAGTTTTTAAGAAAGCTTGTCTCTCTTTTTTTCTTTTGATAAATTAAGCAATTAACTAACAAGCAAGGAATACAGGAAAACTTCTACTCTCAAGGAGATAAATCTCACAAAATCTCATCAGTTACAGCATCCTAGCATGACTTTGAAAAAATGGATTTGATAAAGTACAAAATCTAGCCATACTTTTGACATTACCTATGATCATTTTGTACTGTAAGTCTGAGAAAACATGAATATTTGTACCAAAATGTAAACTCTCATGCAGACTTACACACAGCTATGCATCAATGCATTTGACAGGCTACTGGTTAGTGTACAAACACAGTGTCCCCAGTTAAACAGTATTTGTCTATAGCTAATGAAGGACATTGATTTAATCTAGCTCCTGTTATATTGTGCTTGTATAGACAGCAAAGTTAAATCTTTGTACAAGTGTACGCATTTTTAAACCATCCCTCATGGTCATTTCCTCTCTTTAGTTGTTGTAGTTGCTGTGCTGTTCTCATCTTGTACTGTCTCAGCTGTAGGACCTGGCTGATTTTGATTGGTGGGAAATGCGGCCGTCTTCCCCTCTTCCAGGAACTGTCAGAATTGACCGAGTAATTACTGTCAACAGGGACACATCATCCCCATCATAACCGAGAGGGGGAATTTCATTTCCTCTCTGCTGATCAGCACTGTCATAATAAAGTCAGTTGATTGTACAAAATTGTGTAATTTATGGCAAATAAATAATATTTGTGTGTGCGTGTGTGCTTGTGCGAGGGAGTCTACATGAAAGAAAGGAGAGAGCGAAAATATCACTACCCTCTCTTCCCATTTATTGGAGCTCACCTCCTTTCATTTCAGTCATTTCTCTCCTAATGGGGAAAGCAGCCTCCTCCTCAGAGTCCACTTAGCCACAAAAAGAGAATCCTGTCACAAAGTGGAGAAAGATCTAATCTAGGCAGGCTGAAGAGGACCATCATCATTACACCCACACACCCACACAGGAGGATAATGTTTTCCCCTGATTTTCTATTCACTCATTTCAATTTACTGCAAGGTAAACACACCATAACAGTCACAAAGAATGAGGGCAGGGAGACAGGGGGATGAAAGGCGGGAATCCTTCTCTTGTGATGATGAATATTCATCACACTCTTCTGCAGTGTCTCCCCCTCACTGCATGTGGAAGAGACAGAAAGCCCAACAGCCCCCTCTGAGAAACAGGTTTTATGAGGGGAACTGGGTTACAATCAACCTGCTATGACTGCACGGGATCTAAGAGCAAAAAATTTTGGGTGAAAAATATATTTTTCTGAATCAAAAGGAACAGGTTTACGTGTGATGGGCAGTATCACACAGGGGAAGCCAAATAAGAGTCAATCAAAGTGGACTGCAACACAATTGCTATCTTTGTTCAGTGTGGTTTTATAAGCTGGCGGGGAGCAAAGTCCTCAGGCGTCAGCATGGGAGCCGTCTACGACACTGTCAACTTTCTCAGGAGAAGAAGAGGGAGGAGGAGGAGCGGAGGAGGAGGAGGAGGATGAGTGGAAAAACAAGAATGTCAGAAGGGGACAAATAAAGCCTGCTCTGTGAACCCCATGCACAAGAAAGCATGCCTTTCTGATAAATCCAATAAACACCAAACATCTGTGAGAGAGAAGCTATTTTGCCTCGTAGCTTTAATGTAACTACCTTCCTCGTGGCAGTCAACTTGTGCACAACACTGAGTTTGTTCTTCCTGTTTAAAGCGAGGTAATGATAGTGTTGATCAGAGCCCAGGGAGTCATAACTCAGCGAATTGTAAATAAGTCAGATTTGCGACTGGTACATCATACCAGAGTGCTTGGCTGTGGCTGTAGATGTAGAGCCTCTGTACTTTTTTTTCTTCTTAAGTAACACAAACATACAAAACATCTTAAAACTTAAACAAATATGACTGTAGTTTCACATAGTTGAGAAGCATTTTCAGCTTTAAAAAAAAAAAAAATCACAACCAGTCAGACACCAAATGAGGACATATCTACGCTTCAATGTTATGTTCCAAGCATGATATGCTTTAAAATGAACACAGTTAGGATGCATTGTAGTGCATTTTACATTCTCAGGATCTTTTATCTCAGGTTAAATGCTGAACTTGAATCCAAGAAGGCAGTGCCCACATGGAAACACTGGATAACTTTAGAGCTCAGGAACATACTAATAAACACCCAGATATTTTCCTTTTCAAAATAAGACATCAAGTGAGTGTTTTTCTGGAGGTTGCCGCAAACAAATGCGCAAAGCAAACTAGAACTTTCTCCAAAGATTCAACTAAGATTTATATGATTGTTCTTTAACTTTGGAAAAACAGCCCACCAATCACAGACTGGCTACATCAAGTAAAAATAGTGAGAATTTCCTTTAGATAGAACTGATGTAGTGGCACAGGTGGTTGTGTGCCAACCATAGACTGTATATACTATGGACAACATGGTTCTGCCTTCCACCAGTATACAGATTTGAGGCTAAAATGCGCATTCAGCAGGAGAATGCACATTTCAACGCTCTACTCAAACAGCGTATCCCCCTAGGTGAGCTACGCAATCTTTGTACGCCCATAGGCTGTATAAAGTGTCAATCAGAGAAAACTTGAGCCCCCTAATAACTTTTAAAAATGGAGCTGCACAGAAAAAAAGATCACAAGCAGGGGGGAGAAAAATGTATATTCTGTGTAATAAATTTCTAAAGTTTGTCCACAGCCCCATAAGCTTTGCTGGAGGAGGCGGGATTTCTGAGTTATACTGCAACCTGTCACCAGAGGGTGCTGTACGCGAGGTGGCTTCACCCAGCAAGGAGGCAGACGGCGTCCATTCTACGCACAGTCTATGGTGCTGCAACATAGCAACCAAACTCTTGTTTTGAATACCAACATGGCATTTGGGAAAAAATATCTACTGTTCCTCGTCATTTCTTGTAATTTGACCTAAAATTGGGCTAAACTCTCTTTTAAATTCTCTCCGACTTCTCTTGTGATCCCCATAGAGTGGAAACTTCTGATCTAACCCCACAGATTGTTACGACAGTTACGCATCAATTAGCTTTGGCAAGTCAATGAAGCTTTTTGTGATCTGACAAATGACAACGGGGTTAAACAGGTTAACGGTTACATCCAGATCTGTCACTTTCCACTTGTCTAATAGCACCTGGTTTCACAGTGGATCGACGAGTGTGAAGGCCATACTGGCTCTCAGCTTCTTACTCACACTGGAGAGCAGAGACAGGACGGACGGCAGAAGAGATAGACAGCTATTACTGAAACCACATATTTTATATGTTAGCTCTTTTGATCAATTATTTTGAATGGTATCTTTCTTTAACAGCAATTTATATGATGCAACATTGAACAGCATTGTTATGACAACAGGTGAGGAGACACACTGATTGGATTTTGGAGTGGATCAACTGTGTCTAAAATGGTCTTGTGTTCAAGTATGGATTGATATAAAGCATACTCTCTGTTGTGTATTTGTGGGTCTGGGTCACGCCATTGAAGCTGTATACTGAGAGACGTTTAAATAGAGGCAAGACAAATCAAACATAAAGAAAATAAGAGTCTATCAGCAGGATTAAGATTGATGAGGAGGTTGACAAGGCCCTGCTACACTGGGCTGTGGTCTGGAGAAGCATGTGTGGCCGTCACCGTCACACACTCAGCAGTGGAGTCCTTGGTTCTGCGAAGGCCTGTGTACAGCCTCTCATCCAGGTGAGCAGTCAGTTTGTCCGTGAGCTCGGCTGTGATGGTCTGCGGGCCGTAGCCTGATGAGTCAGGCCGCTGAGAGGGTGAGCGCTCATCTGGTGGCTCAGGAGGGAGTCCAGATGGTTTGATGTCCTCCTGAGGGATATGGTGCTCACTTAACCCTCCATCTTTCTCTGAGACAGAGGGTGCGTGAGGTGGTGAAGATGAGGTGGAGATGCAGTCCTGATTCTTGTCTTTGCTTCCATTGTCAGTAGTTGTGGGCTCTACCTTTGGAGTGTCCGGGGTGCTGCCGGTGCCGTCGCTGTTCTCCTCGTCAGGAGCACTGACGATTCTGGGAAGTGTACTGTGGTAACTTGTTTCCAGTGGGTAGTTCACACTCTCCCCTCTTCGAAGTGGGGTCCGCTGTCTTTCAAAAGAACTGTGGAAGTGTCGGACACCAGGATCACTCCACTGCTTGTGCCGTTGCCACTGCTTGCGGAGATGAATTCTGGACCGGTGCTTCCTTAGTGGTGACTCCTGCTGGTCAAACTGAGGGTCGTGACGGAGGAACTCATGGAAGAGGGCATCTGTCTTCTCATCTATGCTGTAGTCTCGCCTGTGAAGCATGGACAGTTGAGGTGATGGCTGTGCAGCCTCTCGAGGTGTAAGCATTTGACCATATGGGAACCAACTCAGTGAGCCAGTGCCTGTTTCTATGGAGACTCCTCCACTGGCACCTAACAACACCTCATCTTCTGGCTCCTCCTCAAAGAGATGAGACTCAAAGCTCTCACCGATTGTGCCAGTTCGCCCTGCATTGGTGAAGTGGTGCCGCTTCTCGTGGGCTGTTCTATCCTTGGGGCTGCCGCTAATGCTGCCAAACAGTCGCAGCTCCTCTGGACCTCGAGTCGGAGCCTCTATGGAGGCGTAGCCGCTGTCCATCTGCAGCAATTTACGAGTCCCTGTCTCTCCATCACTGCCTCCTCGCTCAGAATCTGTGCTTGCCTGTTTCCTCTTTCTTTCCTCTTTCATGCCAAACCTCTCATCCGTATACATCAAAATATCCTTGTCATCCTCTCCACCCTCTGCTTCATCTCCTAAATCCTGGGACGGATATCTGGGGAGCCCTCCTCTCTCTGTCTCTGTGCGTCCGCCCAGTGAACACACGCTGTCAGCATCACTGCAGACAGAGTTCCTGTCGTTGTTGCTGCTCTGGTCCGAGGCGGCGTACTGTTCCAATGAGGCACGAAGGGTCCAGATGTCTTTGTAAAGTGACTGGGGGTCCTGGGCATCTGGGGGGTCTCCACCCTCCCTTCTTGCTAGGGACAATGAGTCATCTTGGGGATCAGGGGACAAGCCAATCACCCCTGGTCCTCCATGGCTGCAGCTGGGCTCCACTATGACCTCTACCTCTACCCTGTAGGGTGCACACGGGTTTGAAGAGACAACATGAGAGAAGAAAATAAGAAGAAAATGAAGCGGAGACACACAACAGCATACAAAACACAAACCACTGTTGAAGCAATTACCTGAATAACACATTTATCTGAGGTGGCTGTGTTCACAATGCACAGAATGGGTTCATGACTTGCAATGGTTGCTGTTGCATGTCTTTGAACAGAATGTATCAGGACTAGTTCAGTATGTACCCTCATATTTACCTTCAGTAGCCTATGTGGACTATTGTTTAGGGCCGAGAGCTGGTGCTCAAAGGTCAAAATGATAATATGTAGAGTGTTTTAGGAGCCAAAAGAGACGGTTCTTTCTGAACTAAATGATCTGTATCATTTAAAATAAAAATCTCAAGGAGCATCTACACTGAACTTGTTCCCCTGAGAGAGATTAAGGACCCAAACCAGCTCTCACGTGGTAATCCACGACAACTTGAGCTGGATCATTGTAGATTGCCTCTGAAGATTTGAAGTATAATGGGTCAAATGTATTTGGTTTAAAATTTTGCAGGACTTGGATTTGGGGAACCCTGTCTGGTGCAGCAGGAATGGGAAGGATGTCCTAATTTCGACAGGTTGAAATGATCATGTTAACTTAAGTTAATTTTGAACAGAATCAGCGGTATCAGACTTATCAAAGTTAACATCCTTGTAAAAGCATCAATGGTTAACAGAGTGAAATTTTGGATTAACTATCCCCACCTCTCAACATTAACATCAATGAACAGTGGAGTTCTTAACCAACAGTGAGCTTGTAAGTGACAGCCACCCACACAGCCAGTTAGCGGGACACGCCTCCATTTAGTCAGGAAAACAAATGCACCCAATTGTTAGACATTTATTTTATCCAATAAAACACGGTTGGCAACCCAGTGTGGGTAATGACTCTAGGTTTGGGAAAGGCTGGCTTATAGTATGTGATCATGATTATTTCTTGGATCCAGAATGTACTTGTACTGTTGCCCACAGTCTCTTCTTCACTTCTTCTGACACATTTACTTAACCCCCCATTTTTTTTAAAATCCTCTGGGAGAGTTGAGTGTCAACTGTTTCAGTGAAGTTACAGCCCTAACTATTCTCCTTTTTTGCTTTGCCTTTTTGTGTATATGCTTTAAGAACAAGCTTTCTTCTTCTTCATGTCCATGACAACTTGCTAATATATTGATTTCCCTGAACTGTGACATAGAAATAACAACAGTCACCCATTAAGAGTAACTGGTGGTTGCAGCATCATTACCCCCAACTAGGGCTGGGCGATAAACTGATAATGATATATATCGAAAATTAATTTCCCTCAATATCAATTTAAAACATGGTCAACATGCTTTTCAATAGTTTTTTTCATTTTTTCACATTTCATTCTGCCATGTTTGGGTAGGCTGTACGAACAGCCAATAAAAAGGGGATTTGCTCCGGGTCCGCTTCGCGCTGAACCAATCAGCGAAATTAGAATCAAGTAGCAAACAATGCCGTAGTAGCAGGCTGCAGCTACACGCAATCATAGCACTTTAACATGTGAAGCCGACAGCACTGTCCGTATGAAAAAAAGAAAATGAGTGGCACCCTCGGCAGAAATGCAGACGAAGGCTCAACAGATAACAACATCGTTGACAACACTGGCACGAAAACGTCGGTGGTGTGGAGGTATTTTGGTTTTTCGAGGTCGGCGATGAAGCAGAGTAATGTGCACTGCAAATTATGGCAAGTACATGTTCGCACAAAGTTGTGGAATACCTCAAATCTTTTTCACCACCAGAAGCAGTGCCACACGCAAAAAGTTACAAACCCTGAGCAGAGCAAGGAGCCCATGGCGCCTGTGCAGCCGAAACAGCCGACCATTCAGTCCACTTTCTCTAGTGCAACGCGTTACAACAAAATGTCGAAGAGACACAAAGACCTCACAAATGCAGTAGCTTATTGTATTGCAAATGACGTGCTGGCAATAAGCACTGTTAAATTTCATTTTTATATATCGTGATATATATCGATATCGACTGATATGAAAAAAATATATCATGATAAGCTTTTTCCCATGTCGCCCAGCCCTACCCCCAACCAACATGATAATGAATTCTGCTAATTAATTGATTACCAAAACCATGTGTCCTAAAAAGATATCTCTGCTTTTGTGGTCCAACATATTTCAAGAACCCATGTTGTACCAAAAATAACTCACATCACAGTGTAGACAGTACCAGTCTGTGACTAGACTGTCAGTGATCATGAGGATCATCAAATCATTTAGACGAGGCAGCTTCCAGGAAATTCCTCTTTCAAACAAACATACACGGGAAACACTGATATTTTTATCTAATTCTAAGTAAATAAAAATATTTAGTTACTTACAGAAAATACTAGTTTATTTTTGTTTTATAGCCTCATATTAGGCAATTTATTGGTCCTCCATAATTTTAGTGCGAGCTTAAAATAACAAATGAGCCCTGTACTTCCGTGGACATGACATGACATTATTAGACCATGCCAGCGATGGAATGATTTCCCATGCCAGATACAAACCCTGCGTCCCAAATCTCCACTTCATTGCTCTACACTTTGGGAATCCCCTCTGTCTGGCTACATTCATGAGATAGTTTTGAAAGAAATCTTGTTTACAGGGATCGGATTACATTTAACTAGGCTGTGGCACATATTAAAAGTTACACAACATGGTGTGTTTTCGGATTACATGACAGCATCACAGTTTGTCTAACAAAAAGGGAAATTTTTCATTAAAGTTTTCCACATTTTCATTGAAGTAAAGTTGAGTAACTTGCTACTGATACATGCCATTTGAAACTTTCTCATCTGGAATATCAAAACTCACAAAGCACAGTTTTGTCAAGGAAAGGTTTGGAAGAATTGGGACTTAGAGCCAAATCCTAAATATCATTAACAGATTTTTTTTTTAGCAACTGTAAAGAAATGAGTGCCAGGCAGCAAAGCAGTGAACAGGATGAATGGCAAGGAAATTAAAGATACCTGCCGAGGGAGGGCGGTGGTGTGGATGGTGGTGAGAGGAGGCGGGTGGTGGGCTGGCTGGAGCAGTAGGGGACATTCTGTGTGGTGCGGGCAATGTACTGGATGAGGTCTATGTGGTGAGCGTCGTTGTCGTCCTGGTCCATGCTTTCACTCGCGGCTCGTTGGCGCTGGAACTGTCTCCTCTTTGGAGAGCCTGGCCCATGACAAATCATAAAGGGGAAGGAGCAGAGAGTTGACAGCAGGCTAAAGGGAAGTGACACTTGATTCAAGGGAAATTTTCCTTCAAGTGTGGCGCCTTCTCTGGGGATTTTGTGATCTTTCCAGGCCCTTTGTGAGAAGAGAATTGAGTCTTGCGAATCACATAGAGAAGTGCATGTGCATGTTTGTGTGAGTGTGTGTGTATAGGATGAAGGCGATCGACAGGAAGGATTTACTCAGGGGCTCAAATTGACTTGGAAAGAGCAAACTTTACGTCACTCAGCCATCTGTCCTTTTTATGTGTGTGTCTGTGTGTACATCCGACTCTTAGCAGGCAAAACGCTTCTCACAGTTGGTTTCTGGAGCCCCCCTGCTTAACGGAGGCCTGTTTACTTCAAGAGCAAAAATACTAAACACACAAATAAATGGAGAAAAAACACCCAGCAAAGAAACTGTCATTAGTATCTACTACCAAAGTCATGATTTAAACAAAGACACAGGTTGTTTCTAAAAATAAGATGACAGAAATACACTCGACACCATCAAGGATCCATTACCTCTGGTGTCCAGACTCGAGGCTCTCTGGCTGCTGTCCAGCTTCCATTTCTTGATCTTAAAGTAGGGACTGGCCCCTTCCAGACTTGCATGGCGCCGCAGTTTGGTGAAGAACTGCAGCATGGGGCCCTGGCTTCCTGCACCACTGCCAGCAGGAGGGGCGCCGCTCCCCACCAAGGGCCCTTCTCCAACACTGATGCTGCTGCCTCTGCCCCGGGGCCCAGCTCCTATTATCTCGATCTGAACAGAGAGAGAGAGAGTCAGGAAACCAGCTGAGGGGGTTGCTGTGTGCGTGCAATTCTTTCTAACAGTGATGCTCAACAAAGGCTTGTTGTTTACCCATTAACCATCACTTTTGGTGGTCCTATGACCCCTGTTATGTTTGTATGAATGGCTCACAGGTTGACTGGCTGGTTTGTGTAATAAGGGACTGCATTAAGAAAAAAATCCCTGATTTTTTGACATCAAAAAAACAGACTGAATTTCATATTGTCTTTAAATGATATCTTAAAGCTAACAAGGACATTAGTGTCATGATTAATTATTTTTATTTTGTAATTTTTGATGCCCCTGTTTGATCATTTCCACATAAAAATTGCTACACAAGATAAGCAAAGACTACTTGGCCATAGGGGGCGCCATACTGACACAACCAAGAGTTCCTCACAGGAGTTTTGAGTTTATGCAATACTGCTTCTGAAATGTGCTTAAACATGAAATATGTCAATCCCAAAACCTATTGGAGGACACTATATGCTTTTGGGTACATTGGTCGACTTTTTGGAATCTCCAATTTAGTCAGTAGTGCGCTATAAACCTCTTAACAAACCTGAATACATCTTACTTGAGGAGGGCCTGTTTACCAGTTTCTGGGGCGTCTAAGTTACACAGAGGTTCACTCTGGCCTTGTTAAGCTCTATAAACCTAATAAAAAAAAATACTTCTTGTGGATGACTTGCAGCTGATTGGTCTTAAGTTTGCAAAAATAACATTATGGTGTGGATTAAAGGAAGCAGTCCTCAAAAAAGGTGAGCCTGATTTTGCTCTCCATACGGTTATTTTTTTCTGCTGGGATGTGATCGGTCAGTGCTAAAAAGCTACTTCGTACAAACAGAAATCAGAACATTTTTTATATCAAAGTCTGCTCTGCTGGGATGTAAATGAGGCTAGTATTTCCTCAGGCAGAAAATCCCTATCATGTAAAACTCTGTATGATAATCCAAATGATTGAAAATGTAGTATATGTTGAAGGAAACTTACCGAGCTTGGCTCTTTAGTGCTTAGAGCCATAGCTTTGTTACTGAAGCTGGTATCCACCACAGAGTTGAGAGTGTCCCCTGGGAGAGCACAGCTGGGATTGACACTCAGACTGGTCAGTGCTGTTTGTGGCAGGGGGCACAACATGGGCTGAAGAGAGGCACATATAAAAGTTACCTGTCTACCTACACAGAACCTTTGGTTAAACATAAAAATCTTTCAAAAGCTTGGTTGATCAATCGTTAAATCACAGACTGGCTTCACTTTCAGTGTAGGATTTTCATGTTTGAGAAACATTTGTGCATAAAAATTAATTTCCTCTCGAGCTGTCAGCCTGATCCTGGTGACTGACGACCCTCACCAAAATGTGAAATCAATGAGCCCCGCCTGTTGAAATGAGCAGGCAGAGAGATTCCTCATTTCAGTGCTTGGGTACATTAGCTTGATCCATTTTCTTGTCATAACCCAAGTGATTGATGTTCTAATTGGCCACGGTCAAGACTAATGATGCTTGAGGTCTGATAGCAGGTGAAAGGTTCTCACCTGGAAGATAGAAAGGGCCGACTTAGCGACAGGCCGTGTTGTTGTCATGGTGAGGCTGTTCTCAGCTGAGTCACACTCGTGGATGGTTACAATCTTGAGGGCCGGGGAAGGGATATGGAGGTTTGTGAGGCGGGCATTCTTCAGATGGTGAAAGTCGCCCTCAGTCAGAGTATACCTGAGGTGAAGAGCAAAGAGTGAAGAGTGAAGAGCTTAAGACTCTTGCTAGGATAAGATAAGACTTGGTAGGATAAGTGTTAAATAAAGTTAATTCTTCCACAAGAGTCAAACAGCCGAGGGAAATATTGAATTCTAACCCATCTGTGCCACACTGAATCTTACATTTAGCCCCGCAGAGTAATTCCTTTTGAAGAATTAACATCTAGGCCTTTCAGAGAAAAGTAGGTCAGTGAAGTAATGAGAAAGTGTGAAAGCTCTTTATGCTCCCTGCATACATAATGTATTTTAAATGAATTCTTTCCCCCAAACTAACACAGAAAAGAGACAGACACAGTGAAATGTGTGCATCCTTTGATCTAACAAAGCAGTAAAGGTGGAGTGTGCGGACATTAACGCCAGCTGAAAGCTGAACATAAAAGCACACAAATTTGTGAAGTTGCTCGGTGTGTTTGTGTCGTCTGTCTGACCTGCGGCCCTTCTCCTGAGCCTTCTTTCCGTGATCAAAGAGTGCAGCCTCATTGAAGGAGACACGGCGGCCGGTGGTGCCCGTAGAGAGGAAGCGCTCGGTCTCTTGGTCGTGAGAGCTGGCCATTGACAGGCACTCTGACTCATCCACCCTGATGGTGATTTCTGCCAGAGATACAAGAGGAAGGACAAAGACAGACAGGTGGAGAGATGGATAGAGGAAAAGTGAATGGTGATTACAAAGAAAGGTAGAGGGGCTTTAGGCTTTGATTCTTAGTCATACTGTTATTAATGTGATCGCAGTTTGAGCTGTGAAGGCTGAGCTTGAACAATAAATGTTGGTCCTTTGGTAAATTTATTCACCACTATAGAGACTCGGCCAGAACCTGATGTCAGGCTCTGTCCCTAATGGGAAACTACTAAAGGACGAGCCCACAGCAACTCTGTTAAAAACACTCCCACCCAGGAGCTGGAAAGAGCATTTCACTACTTGGCTTTGCCCCTTCTCTGCACTTTGTTGAATCAGTATGTTCTGAAAAGGTTGCTCGTAAGTGTTCTCTTGGTTGTGGAATAAATTCACAGCAATTTTCTCTTCTCAGAGGCAAAGACACCAGGAAACAGTGGGTCAGCTTTTATATTTTTTGTGTCAACATTTACAACATACCTGTTACCACTTCACTTATGACTCCTATGTAAACAAAAGGCAAGTATGCGCTGTACTTGCACCTCAGTTGTTGCTGAAACCTGGGGTTGTTCCATTCTTTATAAGACCTTCTTTATAAATTTGGCACCTCAAGCTGCAAGTAACACTTTGACAGCGGCTAACACAACAACAGCTGACTGCCCGTAGCTATCATGGGGGGCTAACAGCTATCATCAGATGTTTTCTGTACAGACATAACATTCAGGTTGTTCTTGTGATCACAAAGCTGTGTAAAAAGTAGCACCCACAAGCTGTATCTAACTTTATATCACTGTAAAGGAGTCAAAATAAAGTGTTTTAGACAGAAGCTGAACAGAACTGTATGAAGACTTTAATTAGGGTGACCATACGTCCTCTTTTACCCAGACATGTCCTCTTTTTGGGGGCTGTCCTGTCTGTCTGGGGGGAGTTTATAAAATCATTCAAATGTCCAATGTTTTGTATGGAAGTTTTGAGTTGGTGTACCGTGAACTAACTGGGTTAGAAATGTGTAAAAAAACACTCGACCTAACCCGAAAAACCCTCAAAATTTTGTGTGTGACTCCACCCCACATAGTAACGATTCAGAATATGATCACTCTACTTTAATCGGTGCCAGCACACGATAAAAAAATGATTTTTGAGTTGCAAATCCTGCAAAGCTACTATAGGTGTCTAACACCAAAAATGAAAGGTAAAAATGAGTTTACTAGGACTCTTTAATTAAGTTTATCATTCAAGTCTATAGCAGTGTGTTTTACTGATCTCTTATCTTTCTTTTGTAAATGTATAAAAAATGTAATCATCCAAATCTGCTTTAAAACACTCTTGTCATTTGTCACACTTATATCTGAGCACTGACTGTTATCTTTGAGTGAAGCATCTCATGTGAAACTACATTTTTATGGTGTGAGTATGATGAAATAGCATAGTGCTGACTGAAAACCAGCAGAAAGCCTTATAAGAGCAGTGTGGTGCCAACCTGAAGCTGCCTTTTAAATCATTTTCATTTCAGACAGAGTGCATTCACTGCTCCCAAAATGTCAGGAGGTGTTCCAGGAAAGGCACGGCTACTTAAACTAATTGGGTTGGGATCCCAATATTTTAATGGAATAGGCATTACACATTTGTGCTGACAGGATAAAAATATCCCTGCTACCATCAATCCAATACCTCTATCTCCCAGCCTGCCTGACTCCATTACTCCTCCCTTCTTTTTTATCTCCTCTCCTGTTATTCCTTCCTCTTTACGTTTCTCCCTCTTTGTCCATTCTTCTCTTACCATGGGTGGGCTGAGACTCCTCCACGTAGGTGGTGGTGGTTTTTTCAGGGTCATCGCTGGTCCTGGAGCACAGAGAAACATTCAGATCAGTGCTGTGACATAATTCCCCTTGAAGTCTGTCTTTAATCTGATGAAAGTAAACAACTTGATGTGGGCAAAGATGTAAAAATCAACAGTTTAGAGATACAGTTTTAAGACCTCTGTAAGGTCATGTGACTATACATTCATTGTTCTGTTTATCTAAATGTCTGCCTGTGTAATCAATGAAGACCTAAATCACTGCCTCTGACTTAGTAACCTTTAGGGCCAGGGGACCTCTTGGAGTGATAAATCAGGGTAAATTATTGGATTGTACATCACCATTCATCTTTCAGGGCCCAGAGAAAATAAAAATAAAGGTCATGGTGTTTAGGAGATGGGTTTATATTATTCTTCGGTTTATTGTTTGTTGTTGTTAAGTCTTTCAATTTTCTTTCCTCCCCTCTTTTATACCAACTCTTCAAATCTTAAATCTACTTTATGAGGCAGCAAAAAGAAATAGAAAGCTCCTCCCAGTCATTTTTCTCAATCTGATTTCTTTGTGCAGAGATATGAGGTGTGTGTGTGTGTGTGAGTCTGAAGTGACTTGAGGGATTTCTCCTTCCACCCAAATCTAAGCTTCTTCTTGTCTTTCATTTCCTCTGTGATTCCCGCTTCCCAGCGCTGTGTGTATATGAGTGTGTGTGTGTGTATTCTTGGTGTGCACACAGTGCTGGGTTGAGATGCAAGATTAATCACAGCCGTTGGCTGCTATGAAATCTCATTACGCTCATCATTTGTACCAGTCTGCCTGCCTCTCCTCTGCTCTCTCCCGACAGGCCTCTCCCTCTCCACAGCTCAGCCTCTGTGTTCTCTGTTTATCTGCATCGAGCTGCTGTGCTCGTATATTCAAGTGTATTTGATGATGTGGCCGCTATGGAGGGAGACAAAGTATCTCAAGGGAAGCCAAAAAAACACAGATGAATCACATCTGTTAAAACTGTTGATGGCAATCTCTCTTAGTGGGCGGAGCTAACTGGACATTACCACAGGAAGTTGTCCACTTAATTTACAACTGCAATGAGCTTCATCCACTCTATAAGTACACACGTTCAGCATAACTAGTCTTTAAATAGCTGTTATGTGAGAGCACAGGGTGAGTAGTCTTTGGTATGTACACAAATATGCTTTAACGTGGTACATGGACCTGAATCTACAGTTCAAAAGCCTCTACTTAATTAGAGATAATATTGCTCCTTTTATCACACAACTGCAACGGTTACCTGTAAGGTTTTATTTAACTTTGAAAAAAATAATAATGAGTGCAAATTAACTAGACTTTACGTCACAAATGTATGTAGATGAGTGGCCACAGAATACTAATATAATCTTTAGGAGATTATCAACAATATCATCAATCAATAAACTGTCATTTTTCCCTCTCTGAGTGACCTGGCGATGGCATTTTGTTTCTCATCACCTGTCGTAGCAAGTAGCTAGTTAGCACAGTCAAGTAAGAACTACATATAATCATTACAGACACGTTGCATCATCAGAAAACGTCACTATTGTATATGAAGAAAGTTGTTAAATTACACAGCTCTCCTATACTTTTTTTTCAATATTATTCCACTTTGTAATCAAGATGTTACAGTCTAACTAACATGTAAAATCTAAGAATAGTACAAGGTACCTGTAATTTAGGTACTCCATCATCTCTAAACCTTTAATTTAACTTCCAGAGCTGATCAAAAGTCTATAGATTTGGTGATACATCATTTGTTTCTACCACAGATCAGGTTGTCCAGCTCACTTTTGTCTGCCTTATTCCACAGAAAAACTGAATAGGATTACCAAATCAACACCGGGGGCACCAAAATTGACACAAACTTTGTATCAATACAAAGTGTTATTCTTGAAGCTCTTTGCAGTCAAATCTCTGTACACATGCTCTTCACTCCTGAAAGTTTTCTGACATCATCTGGGAAGGTTACACGTGTGGATACAAAAGGTTGAATTTGAACCCTTACTCTTGGCAGCCTTTTTTCTCCAGCCCTCTGAAAAAGTCTGTGTAAAGTCAGGGTGAGTGGGTGTGTGTTACTCAAGAGATCATTCAAGGGCAAAAGGAAAAACTAAAACTCTTGAAATATATACCACCGTGTGATAATGTTGATCTGTTTGACAGATGCTTTGTTCCTGTAATCCAACCTTTACCTCACCTTGGGATCATGATCTTGCTGATTTTTTGGATATAAATAATCAGCATCTGACACAAAAGTTTTGAGTGAAACAAACTGGGGTTTTTCTCTGGATCCAAAACAGGATTGGATGACCTGATCCAATCCATGCCGCGCCGTCTCTCCTGTTTTTTCCTTTTTTAAAGATATTTAAGATTAGATCCTATTTGAAAAAGTGAGCCCAAATGTCCAATAATTTGATCTGACTACCTACCTCAGTGTCACAGTAAGCAGCAACAGCAGACACTGAGTTGTGTCGGCAGTAATGGCAGCTTGTCTGGATGGTGAAACACACTGCGTTGAACACTGCGTAAATATAATTCCTCATTTTTACATCGTACCTGGCACAGCATTGTCCTCCTCGACAGCAGCGACGACAGACAATGAGGAGGACAGAGCCAAAGATCAGCGTTCCTACCAAGAAGATGGAGAGAACCACCAAGAGGAGCAGAAAGCCATCTCCCTGCTCCTCTGCCTCGACTGGGATCCCCTGAAAAACACAAAAGAAGGCTCAAATATACAAATATATAGTCTTAGTAATTGCAGCTAAAAGATATATACACTATATGCATCAACACTATACTGTTGAGACTTTAAATCCAAACCGACCTCTCTTTTGTGTGATATTTAAACCTCGATACAGCTCAGAGTCATGAGTAGGCAATGGCTGCTATAACAGGAAGAGAAGTGGGTGTCCCCTGTTCCAAGTTCTAAAGTGCTACTTAACAAGGAAGAGCACAACTAAAGAAAAATTCTTCCCAAAAAATACATCAAAATCCAAATGCTATTGGATGCTGTGTGCCATTTATGTAATACAACAACAAATGCCCTCTGGACACAAAAGGTGCAGCTGAGATCTGACCATGTTGCTGGGTTACCTCTCCAGAAACACTGTGCAGCTTAAAGCACTGATTCATCCTCTTGGTTTGGTTATTTTTCATAAAATTGACTTATAATTGCAAGAATTTGGTGTAATGGATCACTAAATGCCAGGGCTGTTAACCTGTCTGCAGTTTACCTGAGCTATGAGAAAGCCTTAACAGAAGGGACTGCAGCTGAGATAATGAAACAGAGAGACTAATGAGACTTTGTGGAAAGCTACCATCAGACAACGTACTACACTGCTCTGAAAGACAGACGCTCTTCTGCACTGTTGGAGAAGTCATCTTCAGATCTTCTCTTTTGTGGACTGGAAAAAGTTAACTCAGTCCACCACATAAGCAACTGTATTGCTGACAATAAATGACTTTCACTGTAATGGGATGTGTTACAATAACCTACCTACTTGCAGGGTAGGTTGTAACGGATGCTGGGGTATGAAGTAGCAAACAGAGACCAAACCATGTGATATACTCCCAAAAGAGGGTTACCAAAATGTATATCTCGCTATATATCTCAGACTAGTAATAGGTGATTAAAGTCATATTACCCTGAGAGACAACCAAGTTAGACAGTATACAGCACATACTGTTTAAGTATTTATAAGGTTGGACATTAGTAGTCACATTTAGTTTATCATTACATCTTGTCTACACATATATATTAAAGAATAACTTGACACTTCGTTCTTTTTACCTTTTTTCAAACAGTAACAGGTACACTTCTGTCAGTCTGTCTTTTATGTTGTAAGCATTCTGAAAAAATTTATTTAAACTGATTAAATTTAATCCTCCATTGTCAACCAGTGTCTAGCTAGCTGTATTAGCATAGTGGTTTAAAGAACAGCGGGAAAAAATCCTAATATCTTACCTGAGAAACTGGTTCTCAAGAAAATTAATTTTAATCTTGACATAACATTTACCTTCATACAAAAATCTGTTCTTTTGCAACTGTTTCCTGCCTTAAAATCTGTACATGGAAGTAGGGAAGGAGTAGTTATTTCCTGAAATGATTGGGCTCTTATGTTATCCCTGATTGATGGAACCATAAAAAATAGACACATACAGATACATAAAAAAGCATGGTGGAAAACCTCATTGTCTGCACAACTGCATGGGTGTCTTTCCCTGCATGTAGCACCATAAATACATCTCTACTTTTGCATTACTTTGTTCCACTATTTAGCAGGATTTTGATCAAACATGTAGTTTTACCTTTCTACGCATTTAACAGAATATGTATGAATAAAACTACTTTGACCTTTACAGTGGCTTTTTCACCGGATTTATTCCCTATTTTCCCGTGTCCGACTTGTCAAAAAGCAAGCTCCTCTGTTTATGTTGGCGGCACAACTGGCTTTGAAATGCTTTAAATAAAAGGAAAGGTGGCAACATGAGTGGGAGAGCGGAAAACAAAAGCAGGCTTTGTTCTCTGAAGGAGAGAGGTGACATGATGACCCTGGTTACATAAAGACAACAGACTGTGTATAAATATCAAAAAGATGATGGTATAGGTGGAGTGTTAGTGTGAGCTCTCTGAGGGAGCGAGCACAGCAAGCATAAATGACCACTCTACTCTGATGTCACACCGTAATTTCTCTGTGAGGGGAAATTAAAGCTTAGATTAGATCAGAGATTTAATTATTTCAAGTCCAGGTCAGGATGTTCCCTATTAGCCAGTCAATCGGCCAGAAGACAATATGAGGGAAAGTATAGTGCAGGTTCTGAGCTGGACGTAACAAACACAAAGATACACACAAACATGGGCAGGAAGTTTGAGAATAAGCTTGTGGTGAAAGACAGACTCACTGTGGAGTTTTCTGGTAGGATGTTCCAGACGGTAGACTCATTGCTCATGGTCCAGGCCAGCTAGAGAGTCCCCCTGAGAGATAACACATGCACATACACACATAAACACACAGAGGAAATGACTGTTATTGAAGCTGTTAATCAAAACACAAAGTGAGCCAAATTTACTGCGTTCATCTACATTTATAAACCATGATGAAATCAACATGATAACATGAAAATAAACCTCTCTACCCTCATAGGAAAGAAAAAGGATGAGAAGTAGATTATTTATCTCCAATAACAGAGCAAATAAACATCCATACTAAGACATAAGATGCCTATCTCTGCAGAAAAACCCTGTTGCATCTCTCATGATGCAACAAAGTACTGCAAGAGAAAGCAGAAACCAAACATGTGGAGACAGTATATTCTTGTACGCGTGCGCTGTAGCCCACAGAAGATGCAAATGGTAGCATCTCAGCTGCAAATCATCACCCATAATTCCATATCAGTCTGCAGACTCTCTACCTACCTACCTCCCACACAGAGACAAGCACACACACAGATGAAAACCAGTCCTTACTTATGCTCTGGTTCCAGCAGCTTCCACTAGTGCTGCTGCTGCTATGCGATTGCTCTTACAGATCATAGCCATTAATACTGCTACTGCTGCACCAAACGCCCACACACACATACACTCACACACACACACTCACACAGACCCTGGATAGGTCTACTCACCCAGCAGGGTATGAGCAACATGCCAGCAGCACTCAGCACTCCTCGCTCGCCTGCAGCAATCAACTTCAGCACCACAACCTGTAAGCTAATGCTGAGCCGTGTGCTGCCAGCCTGCCTAACTCCCCAAGTCTATCATCCAAGCGTGAAAAACTGTGACAAGGGGCAACACATCAGGCTATGTGTGATCAGACTGCTTTTCCTTCGCAACTCCGTACCACATCCTGCTTTCTACCAGCCCGGTGTCTTACCCTGATGGAGGGCAGTGCGCAGCAGCGGCAGCTCTGGATGTGTGTGTCAGGCTGTAAGGCTCAGGAGTCTCCTCCTCAGCTCCCTTGCTGCATCCTCAGCCACCTCAGCCGACTGAGACTAAGCAGCGGCGTTTCCCCCCCTCAGGGCTGGCCCACTGGCCTTGAAGCGACAGCAGGACGGCAGTGCTGCATGGCTGATGATCACAAACACACAACACAGTGACTGCTTAATCATGAAGTTTTTATACATGAGTTTTACATTACATAATGGGCTGATTTCATGGCTCACTGACAGGCTATTGCTCCATTTACAGCATTTTTTTTGGCAATCTATCATTTAAATGTTTGTTTTCACAGTTTTTACAACTCTTATAAGCTAAGATGTATGTAAAAGAAGGTTGGTAATCTGTCAAGAACACATTATAGTCTCATTAGACTTGGCTGCCTTTCCTTTGCTGTTACTTTAATGAACAACACAGCAGCGACAATAAATAAAGTGTTGTATCCTACCTTATTGATGATTGCTCACTTCTAGAGTGTCATAAACCCAGATGGGTGCTCTATTGATTGCTTGACTGAGCAGATGGTAAGACATGGGTGTCTCAGCAGTGGCATATCCCGATATGTCTAACATATTGGTCTATACTAGCTGCGGAACTGGTATTAAACAATGTGTTATCTTCGCTTCGAGTAATCCTTTATATTTTAACCAAGATCCACACAATATATTCCTAGGGTAAAGACATACCTAAGATACATTTGTATAAATTATCTATCTAAAGTGAGAAATTGTACGACAGAAGCAGTCCCTAATTACTGGATAGGCTACTGCAGTAGACTATAGCTTCGTCTCGAGCTAAAGCATCTTTGAGTGCGTAAATACGTCAAAATTTTGACTTAAAAGTCACGTCATATTAGGTTTGAAAAACAGTGAACCCGACTAAATAATGAAGAGGAGATACAGCAGCATTAATAAATGCCATCTCGCTATTTCACAGGCGCCTATGATTTTCATCAGTCCGGTGACAACGATAGAGAAGACTGAGGCTCGCGCTGTGAAGTGGCTGCAGAAACGCGCGAGCGGGCATGCAGCAAAGGAGGCACTCACCTACTCAACCAGCCTGGTCCATGCAGGGGTGGACGGGCAAAAGCCAATACCGCCAAAGTCTTCTGTGATCACTTTAATGTGGATTTTCAATCTTAAAGTATTTATGAATGAAACCCCACTGTTTAAGACACGCCCACCACCCAGTCAGAGACGCACCACGTGACGCAAGAAGTGAGGTAAGGCTGAGTGGTTAAAGAGTTTCTTCAAATCTGTCGGTCTGATGCTCCCTCAGTGTTCATACACATAATGTGCCCGGGAAGACCAAGGGTTTTCAATGATGTTTCCCTGATAGAATAAACTTCATATTTAAAGTTTTACCTCTGTGTTCTTTAATTAAAATTATGAGTTTTAGCTCATTGCAGAAGGACTTCCAAACCTATATGGAGTCAGTCATGTGTCGAAAATGACACTACAAGCACTTGTGCATCTCTGCGTGCGGATTTGTAGGGCCACACGAAACATGAAGATGCTACAAAATTGAAGTCCGAAACCCGGCTAAGTGGGTCTCTAAAGGATATGATGTTGAAGTGGTATTAATTTTGAAATGGAGGTTTGGCGCCATCTAGTGGTGATTAGGGTTCAAACGCTTTAAACCTCAATCAACTCAAATCAAATAAAACTTTCCCCAAAAGGGGAGAGTGGGGTAAGATGAGCCATTTTTCATGAGCTTTTTTTCATTTTTTTGAGCATCACTGCAAACCAACAGAATAAGTGTAAACAAAACTGTCTTGATCATATAGCATGCCAACAAAAAGTGGTCTCCTATGGTCAACTTGCTCAATGTGTGGGGTAAGTTGACCATAGTAGCGGGGTAAGTTGAGCCGTATCCCTACTACCCCCCACTCTCCACCCCAGCCCTCCCTCACCTTCTCTCTCCCTAAATAACAGTCACTTCTTCACATTCAGGTGTATTTTTTTATCTATTATACACTATTTGACTGGTACAATAATTCTTTCTATCATTATTGCATACAACTGTCAAAAAGCCATTTTGTAAAAAGCCATTTTAACATGAGAATGTCTTTAAGTGATTCAGAACATTTACAGCTGTATTTTTGAAAAGATTTTTGGGAATAAATGTCTAACCCCTTCACCCATGTGCTTCTAACCTTCACAGACTCCATGTGGCTCAACTTACCCTTTGGCTCAACTTACCCCACTCTGCCCTACTCCTAAAATAAGCTGCAATTACCTGACAAGTCTAAAAATAGCGTCTTATTTTAAGATATTTCAAGCTAAAACCTAAGGCTTGATGAAAAACATCTGCCAGTGGAGCATGTGTGCTTAGTCTATTAAAAGAATAAATTAGGCTACATCTCATTAAAAGACTCATATGAGATACGATTTGAAGCTCAGCAATACATTGTGCTCTGAACAGTCTTATTACAAAACCAAAGTCAATTGTTAACGAGAGTTGAATCTATTTGTTTAGACAACTTAGACAAAAAAAAACTGCACCTTACGACACCAACTTGGCTTAAAACTAGAAACATAGGGCTCACATATTTTTTTCATCATCTTATGGTGTTATATTTGGACTTGACAGGTTAGAGTGGCTTAGATAAATATAATGTCTAAAACTAAACAAATATCTTTTTTTTTTTCGCATTGTAATTCCAATTCATTGCTGAAAACTGAGGTCGCTTCGTGTGCTTTTCAGTGTGTCATTTGGTTTGACCATGTAGCACCTGAGTCGATATGATGTTGAACTGAAGCTAACACTACACCGGCATCCTCCAGTTTCCCTTCATATCAACTCAGGCACAACATGGCCTAACCAAATGTCCCATTGAAATGCACATGAAGCGAAATTCAACAATAACCTTTCCACTTTCTTTCTTCTTTGCTCATCCTCTCACCGTTGTCTTCTGTGCCTGGATCGTAAAACACCGGTGCATTACCATTATTGGTCCCTGGCAGCTCACTTTCACTGTGGCTTTTTTTTTTTTTTTAAGTAGGCTAATTTTTTCATCAGTAACTTCCGTTGTGACTTCTTTTTTTTCTTCTTTTTTTATTTACAGCGTTGGCGGTTCTCGGCCAACGTAGCAAACGATCCGAAATAAAAGCTGTAACATTTCAATACTTACTTGGGATAAATATGTTGCTTACATGATAAACGACTGCTCATAATAAGAAAAAAAGAAAGAGGAAAATATCAATAATCAATCACGTTTCTAAATCATTCGTAAGCACAGCCTCCTTTGAAAACTCCACTTCCCGTCATCCTATGCTCCACCGTAAAGCCTTGTGGGTAGGTTACGAACGTCCTTGTCCTACCAAGCGCACACCGACTGCCTCCACGCAAGGGCTTGAGGACTTCTGTCATTCACTTGTACTTGGATAAAATCTGTTCTTTAGACATGATGGCAGCAAGGTTCCTCCGCCGGGCTCTTCCTGTGCTCAGGCAGACCCGGTCCTACGCCGAGGCCGCCTCCGGAGCCCCGCAGATGTCCTTCACTTTTGCCTCCCCGACACAGGTTAGCTTCACATGAACGCAGCTGACGAGGCTTCCCGGGCCCAGCTAGCTAGCTGCACGGCTGATAGTCACTCATTTGAATGCATTAAATGATATAGACAATGTCATAATTTGTAAAGCTCTTACTCCAGAATCTCTCTGCAGTTTTGTGCCATTCCGTGTTTTTCCGTGCGTGCATACAGTGAACTCTGTGGAAGCGCTTGTCTTGTGTTGAGGGTTATCATAGCATAGCTAGCTAACAATGACTAGCCTAGCTGTCATTCACTGTCAGTGCATGGAATATCATCCTTTTGGAAACACTATCACCAAATCACTGTTAATCAAGAGAACATTTACTACTATTTACAGAGCTGACCACGTGTTTTAGATGTCTGTAACTGTTACTGTACCAATTGTGCCATTGCTGCACACGGGTGTTTATTACAGACCTCTCTAACCTTGAAGTTTGTTGGTACTAATCTCACCTTTCACTCACCATTTCTCTGGTTTCATTTGTATGTTTCTCCAAATTTTCTGCAAGAGCACCTGCAACTGATTAAGATGTATAATTGATACCAAGAGAGTGTAACTTAACCATTAAGGACATCGTGTTCAATGTTAAGTCACTGCAGATACAAGCAGCTGCGGTTGTTTAAAGGTTAAAGGGATATTCCGGCGTAAAATTAAGTTAGGGTCAAACACACTGTAACACTGAGTTAGACACCCCCTGTAGAGATGAATGTTGCCGACTGCTTGCTTCTCTAGTTATACCAACTTAAGGAACGACCACAGATAGCAATACAGAGAGCCATGTGCTCAACCAAAACGCCACTCTACAACCACAAATAATGCTCAGAACAGCACCTAACTTCATCAACAGCACATATAGGGTCCCAGCTATAGTGCTAGCCATCAAACATCTTTTCAATTTTGCCTGATTTCTTTCGCAAAGAGATTAAACACAACTCACCTACTCTCTTCTAGCAGCCGCTTGTTTGTACGGAGACCTCCGGGCAAGTTCATCGTCTGCTGCGGGGTGACACAACTCAAGGAAGAACATTTATGATTATTACTTCATGGATATGCAATCAGACAGAGACACTAAGGCAGAAGAACTACCACGTCTGCGGTGCAAAATCATTAATATGATGATTATTACTTCAAGGAAATGATAAAGAAATTATCATGAATGTTCTTCCTTGAGCTGCGAAACTCCGCTGCAGTCGATGGCCGAACAAGCGGCTGCCGGAAGAGAGTGGGTGAGTTGTGTTTAGTCTTTTTGCTAAAGAAATCAGGCAAAGCTAAAAAGATGTTTGGTGGCTAGTGCTGTGGCTGGGACCCTATATGTACTGTTAATGAAGTTAGGTGCTGTTCTGAGCATTATTTATGGCTAAACAGTGTTTTTTTTGTTTCGGTGGGTGGCTCTCTGTATTGCTATCGTGCGGTCGTTACTAAAGTTGGTACAACTAGAGAAGCAAGCGGTCGGCAACATTCATCTCTCGAGGGGGTGTCTAACTCAGTGTAATTGTGTGTTTGACCCTAACTTAATTTTACCATGGAATATCCCTTTAAGTGCTGTGATGAACTTTTGCACAAGTCTTTTGTTGATCAGTGTCTCTTATCTTTTTCCATTATCCAGGTGTTTTTCAAAGAGGTCAGTGTGAAACAGGTAGATGTGCCCACACTTACCGGTGCGTTCGGTATCCTCCCCGCTCACGTACCCACCCTCCAGGTGCTCCGACCTGGTGTTGTCACAGTCTTCGGCGATGATGGCTCTTCCACCAAGTACTTTGGTAAGATTTTGACTGGCAGAAAACACAGTGGTGGTGACATAGACCAGGCTGACTTCACTTTCCTCCTATGTTAACGGGTCGGTTTCGACTTGTGTCTTAAATCAGCTGAAAATTACACTAAAAGCATGTCTCTATCATCCAATTTGGTTCTCGTCTCTGGGTTACCTTGTTAGGCTTCATTATCCATGAAAATATTGCTTAAAATAGTTTTTGTTGTTGTCCTCTGGAACTTTCTTTGTCAGTATACCCCTCATACAGACATCTATGCTGAACTGATCTCACATGTCTGGACATGCCTGATGTTGTTTTTTTGTGCAGGAAAAACAGGGAAAATTAGAAACTCCTAAATTTCACATGATTAAAAAAGATCTGACTGTCAGTGTGGTGCCTGATAGTGCATTTATGATTTTAGTTTTTGCTCTAATTATAAGATATTAATCTAACTGGGTCAACATAGACCCTAACACAACAAGTGCCATAATTTTAATAAAAGCATTTTATAATTTTGTGAATTATTTATTTTTATTTTTTATTTTGTTGAAATGGAGGTTACTGACAAAGTCAAAAAGTCTTGATGCAAAAAAGTGGTTCTTTTAAGCATTTGAAAACAAAAACGAGTCGGTGCAGACCCTAACACAGGAGACAGGTTTTAAAGGACCTTGATTTAATTTTTCTAGTGGTTAAGTAAACAGTAAATTGACATATCAGGCTAGCCCTCACACGTTAAAAAAGTTTGAATAGTGTTAATGACTTTATAAATCTTACTGTGTGTTTTTGTCTCAGACTCATTGAATCTATCATCATTTAATGCAATAAAGTTATGTTGAGTTACTGAGCTCCCTTTTTTAACCAATGAAAAAAGTTGATGTCTATTCAGCTCAGTCAACTGATATCCACGTATCATATGACAGCTGTTTAGATTTATTGCATAAGACTTTATTAGAACCCCAATTGTTGAACAGAAGCTACCCTTTTGGAGCAAGGGTGCCCTGAAAGTATATTGCATTTGATTTAAAAGCAGAAAAAAAATCACTGCGAAAATCAATTTTTCCCCCCAAACAATCAATCTTAAACAAATATAGAGCAGAGCCCCCTAGTGGTTGAATACATTGGATTCTCAACTCCAGAGCTTTTTTAAACTATTCAATTAAACACAATAGGAACTCAACACATGAAAACAGCAGCCCGTGTATAGAAAGCATCACTGTATTGATTCATCAAGGTCAATAGTCAGGTAATGCTGAGGCCACCCTCTGTTGAGTCAAACAGTATACTATTTCATATGGCCTGATATACTAATATACTGTATATTTTCTATTGCAACAGTGCACTTAAGTTCAAATATCTAAATTTCGATTAAGGGCTCATATTTTGGAGACATCCATACCGCATATTGGCATGTTGAGTGACTTTGTTGTGCATCTTTGTGTGTGCAGTGAGCAGTGGATCAGTAACAGTCAACGCTGATTCTTCAGTCCAGCTGCTGGCTGAGGAGGCTGTTCCCTTGGACCAGCTGGACGTTGCTGTGAGTATGATGTAAACTTGACTGCATTTACATGTCAACAAGTGTGGCATCTCTAATAATGGCCACTACAACCTTATCAGGACATAAAAAAGACTAGGTTGTTTAGATAGTGATGGTACAATCTTGACAACCAGTACTCCATCATCTGTCCTTCATACAGCCCTTTGGGGAAATTTTGTTTTTTGTCCGCAGTCCGGCTAGCAATTTAAGAAGCAAGAATGAAATTGAGGTGGAAAGACGGTATCTTGGAGTAGATAATTTGCTGCACTTGCATCAGCTATTTTTGTGAAAGCATCAGTTTGATTTTGTGCACATCCATTTTGCCCTCCATGAAGACTGTTGTCCTGTATTCGGCCAACACCAAAATGCGCCAAGTCAAAACTACTCATATCTCCATGAAAAGCAGAATACTTAGATACTCAAATCTGCCTCCATGTCTTTATGTTATGCAGAATCAGAAAATACATATTGAGTTACGATATAGACAAACCGAACTACAAGTCAAAGCACAAATCTTAAGAGGAATCATACCCTCTAAAATCAGAGCTGAGGACACAGAAACAAATCAAATAAATCCACCAGGGTCGTGATACAATCATTTACTGTCCAACAAGGGGAAATGTTTACATTTTGTGCTAAAATAACATATTTAGCCTTGTTAATGGAGACAGTTCCAGTCCAGATTTTATATTTGACAGACCGAGCTGAAGCTCATTGCTCTCTATTAACAAGAGAAAATGTAGGATTTGGATAAAAAAAAGTAAAGCAGGTTTTAACAGGATGTTTATTTGTGTTATGATTGTTAGGTGATATAGATGAATTGTTACTGGTTCTAAAATGTAAAGTACAAAAAGAAGAAAAAGGGAGGGTCAAACCACTCTGTTTTTTTAGAATTTATTTTCATTAGTTTAAAAGTTGATTTTAGTATGCTATTTTCAAAAAGGCTTTAATGCATTGAAAATTTTTATGCAATGCTTACTGACCTCACATTCAGCTCACCAAACCTCCTGGAATTTTGATCATTGACTCTGGAGACAAGCTAATTTCAGTCTCTGTTTACTCATGAAACATTTTTCTTTTAATAACTCAATCAATCTTTATTTATATAGTAACAGATCACTGTAAATATCTGTAGATGCTTCACAAAGAGCAGGTCTGGACCGTACACTATGTAAATATTTATCGCATTTTGTTTAGGCTAAGTAAATTAAAGTGTAACTGGTAGATATCATTGCATACTTCCTCACAAATAAAAACATTACAGGAAACCACTGATTCCTGGTATGTTGTCAAATGTGAAATTTGAAATCTCTTCAGAGGAGAGTACAAACAATTACTCTAAACAATGCTAAAAAATGAATGAACATTTTTGGCAGTCTCAGCATTCACAACACACGAGTTCCACATATTTAATGCCGCATTGATTGTGTTGTATTCTATGATGAATTTCATAATCGCTCAAGGCAACTCTCCGTTTACTTAAATAATCTGAATGAACATTTGCATTGGTCTTCTTGTCAGGATGATCTAATGCTACATATTTTTAATGAGCAACCCACAAATACCAGGATCAATATTTGTGCCGTTTGGATGGCAGGAGCTCAGCCTTTGAACCTGAAGAGATTAATTCCTTTGAACCTATATCTGAAAATAGATTTAATTATTAATTAGAACACAAGAGTCCTATAAACTGCATTCTCTCGTCAGGCTTGAAAGCACTTTTCTTTTTGGAAAATTCCTGTAAAACTTTCCGAGTTTTGCCGTTTCTCTTAAAGTTTATAGAACATCATAAAAGATAATGACTATCAAAAATGCTTGAATGAATCTCCCTCCATTTCCAGTGTCAGGATTGATAATAGGATGGGAGGAAAAATCAATTCAGCATAGTATCGCGATATTTTGTCTGGAGATAGATCGTATCGTCTCATTGACCAAGTATCTTTTTTCAAATTAATTGTTAATATGAAGTCAAATCTATGATAATGGAAAAATAAAATCAACTGTTTGTCAGGTGAGGTTGGCAGAGGTGACATCGTAGAGCAGGAGAGAATTAGTGTAACAAATATAGCAGCATCTGGGAAAAGACATTAGGAATGCAAGCAGGGCACAAATGAGATGGACCTGACACAAGGGGTTTGGAAGATGTGCTAAATGAAAATAAAATACAGTGCAAATAAGACAAACATAAAGGAAAGACAAATACTAAATTAGCTAAACAGTTAAAAAATTGTATAAATCGCAATATATTGTATCGCAATCCTCACTGTATTGCAAAATGTTAAAAATCGCAATTATATCGTATCGTGGGGCCACTGATTCCGAACCCCTAATTGATTAAGGATGGCTGTTGAGGGCATCACAGCAGAGATGATAAAATCTTGGAGCACAATTCAGCTTTTTTAATATGGCGCTAACATACAAATGTTTGGACACTCCAGGCGTCTTCATCAGCGTACACACAGCAATGCATGCATGAATGACGGCTTTAAAGAGCCTGCCCACAGGCAGCCCCTCATTGGTTGGGCATATTTGATGTGTCAGTCATGCCTGCACAGTAAAAAAGGAAACCAAAGGGCTCAACAATGTTGAGTTTAAATATCCAAAAAGCTTCTCTGTGCAGGATTTTAAAACGTCATGATGTCCAGTATTAGAACAAGGAAAGTGTATGTTTGTAATAGCTGAGCTTCTGTGCCTGTGTCCTCCTCCAGGTTACACAGTACCTTTTTTCCTACAAACTCAGCAATTGTTGATATAGCTGCTTGGGGCGAAAATTTAGCTAAAGCTTCCTCATATCGTCACCCTATTAAAATAATGGCCTAAGTCATTTTTTGATGAAAATGAGTTTTTGGCGTAAATCATCTCTTGAAATGATTTAGAGATCATTTAGGCCAAAAACGCATTTTCATCAAAAAATGACTTCGGCCATCATTTTAAAAGGGTAACGATATGTGAGAAACATGAAGTGACATGGACTGGAAACCAATCCCAAGTCCAAAGTCTCAGCTGTGTGGGGGCCTTGCTGTGTGTGGTTTGCATGTTCCTCCTGTGCATGTGTGGGTTGCTTTGGGCTTCCTCCCCCAGCTCAATAAAAACCCTGTTTAGCGTAACCTTTTACCTAGCAGTAGGAAAAAGTAAAGATTAGTTTTCCTTTGATCATATTATAATGAGAGGATGTTCATCCAGATAATGGATATGTGTAGGAGGATTTTACCTGCAGTTTTGATGTCATTTCAAGTTCAATATGTTTTTACCCTTAGTTAAAAAAAAATCTATGGGTAACATGGTTCACTGTTTTAATTTCAGTGATATTTGTGTCCTCAGAGATCAGTATTGAAAAATAATGTCGAAACAGTAGCAGTCTGGGTTTGGATGGTCAGTTTTAAGATGGATTCGATGTTTTAATGAGATTTATATCAGGTGTTTCTAAATCCGTCTGATTCAAACATAATTGCTGATGTCTCTCTCTCTGTCTCTCTCTCTCTCTGGGGAAAACTGGGGTCACAATTCCTTGAACTTGATTCTTCTCCTCTCATTTCCCCCTCTCAGCTCATGATTATCCGTTCGATCAGGACTGCATTGAACTTAAATGTTGAACCCCTGTTTAAATGCCACTCTTGTTTAATTCTGGGCTGTGTCATTACACGCTTGTTGCCGAGTCTTCTGTCTTTGACCCGGGGCAGTGCCGGTGTCACTGTCAAGTTGACTTGGTCGCAGTAAATGAGTTATTTCTTTGCTCGTTGTCTTCCAATCTGCAGTGAAAATACACACAGGCCCACACTGTTAATAAGGAGGGAAAGGTCAGTCACTGTTGAGTTATAGCAGATGTGTCAAAACCCTACTGGGAGACCTTTAACTCCCAGCTATGTTTGGCATTTCTTGTTTCTAATCACTACTGTGACAAATGGAGCTTTCAGAGCAAAGAGGCAGAGGGGATTTTCTCCACTCCTCTTACGCCCCACTTTTCCCTTTTTTTCCCCCCTCTTCTGCTCAGTCTTGCTATTCTGGCCTTTACATCGTCTGAAAAAGCCTTTTCAGGATGAGGAAGTCAATCTTTTTTTTCTCCGTTTTAACAGAATCTGTTTTTCTGTCCATCTTTCAGGCTGCTAAGGCAAACCTTGAGAAAGCTCAGACTGAGTTGGCCGGCGCGTCCGACGAGGCAGCAAGAGCAGAGGTCCAGATCAGCATAGAGGCCAACGAGGCCATTGTCAAGGCTCTGGAGTAGACCTGTGGTATGACATTAAAAATGCTGCGCCATGATCTGATCTAGAAAGATAACTGGTTTATTAATTTTACGTAGAGAGATACCGATGCAGGACAGTTCACGATTGTGATTAGAATTTCAAACAGAAATCTGAATCAGTTCCCTCATGTTATGTTCCTCAAAGTAAGTCCTTCTTTCCCCCTCTCTTGTTTTTTTTTTTAGGCAGTGTTTTCTGTTTCTTTGATGGGATTCAATCGTCCATCTGTTTTCCTGCTGAGTCACTTCAGTGTCCAGAAAATCCCATTCTTGCTTTGTACAGTGGATAAAAATGACAAAATAAATTTATTTGGAATTACCTGTTTTTGTGTTTTTGTGCTTTTCCTAAATCATTTCTGTTTGATTCATGATCATAACTGTGTCAAACAAATCTGTATAACCTATTCAAACTCACATTAAAAAATGATTTATGAGAAAATCAACCCAAAACAAAAGGAGCTTCTTTTTTGTTTACCATGTAGTGAGTGTATCTTCCACTTGGTGGCAGCAGATGACTTCTCCAGAATATTTCTCTAAAGAGCATTTTCACATAATCAGATTGCTATCTGACTTCTCATCAAACCACAGTTTCTGGTAAGAGCCTTATAGCGTTGCTGGATAGTCTTACTTTCAGCCAATCTACTTAAAGGGACAATCCTCTTTATGAATTACATTTCTGTGTAGCACCTCCTGTTTCTCCTGAAAGCATAGGCACTTTTCCTGTAGCCGGCCCACTTGTGGGTTGGAGAGTAATGTGGAATCCTCAGTCACTGCCTTTATTTTTTAATGTGCTGGCAGAGCTTGTTTGTTATGAGTGATGACCTCAGGCTTCTGCAACAAAGCCAGGAAAAGTCCTCCTCTGCCCATCCTGTGGAAAACTGGGCCTTTCTCTGGTTTCATAACTGAGTTTCAGCCCAGGCTCTCTACTGGAGGCATTGACCTCATTCACGTGCTGACCTGAGGCTTCCAAAACAGAAACCGCAACCGGTTTATTTTGAATGTCAAAACTCTTGAGGGCTTTCAGCGAGTGTGATTACACTCCAAGTATCAGTGTTTACACAGAAATGCTCTCATGACTATCTATGCCGGGATCCACGCTGAACCTGCTGCCTATGCTTCGAAAGCAGTGATTTGATCCGTCGGCTTTGACATCCCCTCTCCCAAACAGGAAAATTCATAGATTTTTCCAGTACAACAAATTTTCCTCCATAATCAAGGAAGACCAATAAAAGCATGTTATATAACCCTCGAATGTGCTGAAATATCTTTTTTTCCAGTGATTAAGCACGTGCTGCCCAGACTTGGAGACAGTGACTCAGGTCAGTAACCATTTATAAAAGAGCAAGTTCTCAACACCTCTCACACTTCCTGCTTTGTGTTCTCCTTTCCAAACCTCTGTCTCTTTCATCAAAACCTCGGTGCAGCTGCACACATAAACAGAACCCGCTCATACTTTCTCATCCATCAGCCTCGGGGCCTGCAAGTTGCACTTCTGACAGACAAGATGAAACAGTCATGTCAAAACCAACACTTCTTTAATCCAGATACATGATGGGGGATGTTGAAACCAAACTTTATTCCCTGCTTTTAAAGCCGCATTTTTCAAATGTCAAAGCACAAAATGAAAATGCGCGAGCTCTGCGCTGCTCTCGGCGCAGTCATGTCACTAAAATCAACAGTAACCAGCGTTCCAACTCAACTTCTCCAGCTCTGGTGAAGAAGATATCAGGATGGAGAATCAAGTTCTGTATGTCATATCCAGATTTAGTTTTTGTTGGTATTCAGATTTTTGCATTTCGTGTCATCTATTCCCACCGAGAACTGTCAAGCTGCCACAGCTGTTCCCCTTCTAAACAAAATGTGTCATAATCAAACTCTCAAACCCAAATGCAGAAGTGCTGCACATTCATATACAAGCAGTGAAGTGCTGTACAACGATATAGGGGGAATGAATACCCAGTAAGAGCCCTCACTCAACAGCCACTTGTTGGGTTTTCAGGCTCATCAGACACGTGATCATGAGTCTGTCTGTCTCTCATGGATGCATATGTGCTGTAATTAAAAGACTGCACTGTCTGCCCCTTAGGGAATAACATGATGCATGCAGTGACAATACATGGTGTCATCCCTAAGCTGTAATCTAACACAAAGCAGCTTTACCCTCACAAAGAGCTCATAAACTGAGTGTACACTGAGTTTACCATGGCAGGAATAGAAGAGAGCAGTCATTGGGTGTTAAGTGGTGTATTCTGTGAGACTTCAGCTTTGGAAATACCCTCCTCGTTCACTGGCCAAATATCAGAGCTGTCATCTCTAATAAGCTTAGCTGCACTTTCTGCTAACAAGCCAGGATTTCACAAATGGAAACTTCTCCCACCATCATGCTTGTAGTTGTGACAGTCAGGTTTATAAACAGTATTTTGTCCGATGTCCACCCCAAAGGTTCAGGAAACCCCATAAACAGCTGTGTAAAAATGTCATGTTTCACAGTAGAAATGAACATGTTTACAGCCGTGAGTAAAATATAGTTTCAATTTTGATTGTACATTTCTTTACTTGTGACCTAGATAAACAAAAACTGTTGTCCAACCCTTTCATTTTGATCATATAAGAGTTATGCACAGATTTGCATTTGTGGCTCTTTGCTATGAGGCTAAAGGCTAACCTCAACCCCTCCTCTTGCTTCTAGCTCAGCTAACTCAAAGTTAAACTGAGTCAGCATTTCTAATAAGCTGAGCGTTATTATTTACCTTCATAACCCTTCCTTAGAAATCAACAGGTGACCTTACTCATTAGCATGCTAGCTGGCATCGTACAGTGTTAGCTTAGATGACTACCGCGAGTATACAGCCTCACAGAGATGCTAGGATGACTTAGCCTGTTTTTCTGGGTAGTTAACTTTCAATGATGCATTTATAACCACAATTGTTGACTATTTTTCTGACCTTTTATTCCAGAGAGAATCAATAGGACATCTGTTTTAACTCGGACAAAACAAGCTATTTATGGATGTCATTTTGGGAATGGGGAAATTTAATAAGCTTCTTTCCGTTATTTCTTACAACACAGATGGTTGTTTGTTAATCAAACTTTAAGGTTTAAAACAGGACATTGACAAATTAATGTAATAGTAAAGCAATGGAAACAGTTACATGTTTGCCCCTTCCCTTAATCCCAGGGGTGAAGTTGGGCTTGTGCCTCGGCATCTGTTGCCGTCATCTGAACTCACAGTCAAGCAGTGGGCAATAAAATGAATCACGGAGCCAATGGAAAGACTGGAGGCACGAGATTTCTGTTGTATACTGGCAGAGGCTCCATCATGACACACACCGGCTGTGAGACAGCGTGATATTTTCCTGTATGCTGTATGATCATCCTGCCTTCAGAGAGTCTTGATTCGGACTGAGTCACCAACTGTATGGATCGGGATACAGAGTGACTTTTACCCCACAAGACTTAAAACACAGTCGAGGGTCTCCTAGTAGACACTCAAACCGAAACCCTCTTCATCTCTTTTATTTCAGTGCTCTTATTAGCCTCATGAAATCACGGGACACTCTTCACCTGCAGCCCCATTGACATTTCACTCCTCATGTTAATGATAATTCATGCAGCCGACAGCTTTGGACGACCTGTTAATTTATCAGGCCTGATTATGAATAAAATAAAAACAGTGTGTCGGGTGAATAATAAGGGAGCTAAGCAGAGAACGGGGGAGTGACAGATGACGCATTATGAGAAAGTAATCGGATTTTGAAACAGGTGCTGTGACTACAAACATGAGTGTGCACATACCTAGGATTCAAACAAAAGATAGCATCATGCAGGAGATTACTCATTTACAGGAAGCAGCATCATGTTTTGATTCAGTTAATCAGCAAGACAAACAAAGACTTCCTGCAATAGGCCTCGAACATTTCTCTGTTTGTCTTGTTCATCCCGTTTATTTTTCCCCCCTCTTGTGACACCTGCCGATCTTGTCATGCTAGTTTATAATAGAATTGTCATTTTTGATTTTCTGCAGGGAAAATATTTCTAGCAGCAGATTGTAGGCGGCAGGATATTGAGCGCCTGATGTGTAAAGGCAAATTAAAGACCAGGAGAAGAGCTGAGAGGAAATTAAAGGTCCGGAAAATTTAAACGCTTAGAGCAATGAGTCAGTTATGACTAGGAATGGCAATCTTCCACACACCAAAGTGCTCCAAAATTACACATATCATCCAGCAAGCATAATCATCTGCCTCTGAACTTTAATAAACTGTGCTTGTCACATGATGTAGATGCTTAGACACATTTTGGGGCTGCTTTCTTGAGCGTGAAAGCTACATTTCCACCTGTGAGATACGGTCAAGCATGGCTAAGTGTGCATCAAGGGGGGCGAATTGAGGCTCTGCAGCAGAAAGAGAGAAAAGAGAGGCATCCAGAGAGCGGCGCTGATTGAAGTGCTGACCTTTTTCGGTGGGACTGTGTAAAGAGGGGGGCCTGCAGACTCTCAGTCAGCTGTCATATACTGCATCCAGCCTGGTAGTAGGAGTAGGGCCCTGACACCAGCCTCCCACCACTCTGCCCTGTTTGTGTCATCCATCCCTCCATTCTTACAGCCTTCAATTCCACACAAACACCCACCCACCCGCCAAACACACACAGCACGCACACCAAAAAAAAAAAAAAGAAAAAACAGGCACTGCCGCAAACACTCAGCCAGACTCAAACATCCACACAAACACAAACATATTTCAGCCTGTGCCAGCTAGGTAACATTTCTACAAATAGCAGTGTGGGCATTTGGGAGAAAATCGCAAAGCCGCAAACACAGCCTGCTGTAGGGGTGAGATAATCAGCTTTGTGGTAACAGCAAATGGCCCCTGAGTGGCAAGGCAGGTAATCATTGCAGTGTTTTTTTATTTTTTTTATCAGAACTGGGAAGAGTGTTTTTCCAACCGACTGTGTGAGTGTGTCTATGCATATTCACACAGAAAAGCAGCCAATTTAAAGATAGCCAGGTATAAAAAGTCCCATTACATGCACCTATGAGCTTAATTCCCATGCATGAACACATGAATGGTGTGGTTACTGCATATCTACCACCTACACAGTCTTTACACCGAGATAACAATACAAGAATAAGTCAAATAAATTTATTTTTATGCAGCTATCAAATATACGGAAAGTCTTGTTTGTTCTTGCAAACCTAAGCTACACTAAAAGAAATAGAGGCAAAGAAAAAAAGGTCTTTTTTATGTTCAAAGCTGCTCCTCCACTTCCTAGATTTACATAAGTAGCGGAAAAAAAAAGAAAAAAAAAAAAAAAAACATCACATTTGCTTAAATCATGCTTGGAATTATTCCATATCCCCGGTCTGTTTCCAGTTTTGCATGCTTTGATGATCTTCACTCAATTTCACATTACCAAAGAAAAACATCCACATTTTCTTTTTATTGTAAATTCAGGGCTG